ACCATGCCTGGAGGTGTTTTAAGAGGCGCCTGGATCTGGCGGTGGGTGGTGTTAGGGTGGCAGCAGTGCTGCCTGGACTGGGCGATCGCAAAGCTCTGTTCCAACCGCGATGACCGCGTGCTCCCACGGCGCTGCCCGCACGCCTGCGGGCCCCGCCGGACGCAGCACCCTGGACTGGCCGGCTCCGGTCCCGTTAGCGGCCGCTGCCCACGGCCCCGCCCTCACCGCCGCGCGCCCGGGCGCAGGCGCAGAGCCCGCGGCGGGGCGGGGTCGAGCGGCGGCGGAGGCGGGGTCGCGAACTCTGACCCCCGGGAGCCGGAGCCGCACCGCAGCCAAAGAGACCCGCCGGACCGGCCACCGGGCCCGCCAGGTAAGAGAGAGATCCCCGGCAGGCGAGAGACGCCCTCCGCAGCGGGCGCGGCCCGGCGGCGGGAGCACGGGCAGCGGGGGCGGCCGCGCTGTAACGCTGCGGGCCCGCGCGGCTCCCGGCCGCCACCGCTGCGGAACGTGCAGCGGAGCGCGCCCGCCCCGCCCCGGGGCCCGGCGCGGCCCCGGGCGGCCCCGCGCCCCCCGACCTTTCACCTACAGGAACCGCTTGCGTGTCCCGCCGCCCCGCATCCGGGCGGCGCCGCCCGCCGCTTCCCGCGGGAGCCGGGCAGAGGACCGCGGGGGGAGGCGGCGGCGGGCGATGGGCGATGCCCCTCATGCTGGGCCCCGGCCCCGCGCAGCCATTTTGTGCGGAGCGCCGCGGCGGGGGCGGGCACGGCGCTGGCTCCGCGAACCGGCGGGCAGGGGAGATGCGAGGGCTGGGGCCGGGGTGGCGGGGAGGCTGGGGACGGAGGGACCCCGGCGTTGCTCTACAGCTTGGCCTCGACGCATCTCCCGAGTCCTGCGCCTTAGCATTCCCGGGCGGTGACCCTGAGCTTTCCCGAACCCCCCAGGCACTCTCTGCCTGCCGGCGGCATCATCCCGCCGGTTCGCTGCTCTTGTGTATTCCTGGAGGCTCTCTGGGTTTATTTGGGTTAAGGTGGTATGTCCTGAGCAACACCCGCTATTGTTTTCATTGGGTCAGATGACCCTGTCTCTGTTCCTTCCTATCGCTGTAGAGTATTTCTTCTAAGCTGCGGACTTTGTGGAGTCTTTATTTTTTCTTTGTTGCCGTGTATTGCTTTAAGTGTAAGAAGCACGGCCGCATTCCCCAGGATGCGCTTACATTTGCAGGTTGTGGAGGGAATAGAGGAGATGCCATGTGTTGTGCAGGTGAATTTACACAACAGAAGAGGGAAAAAAAGTCTTGATAGTGGTTTCACTGAAACATGAGTGTGTGGACATGATTATTGAAAAACCAAGTTAGGCATTCATTCTTATGCGAAATCTCTGATTTGAAGCTACTGGTGTCAGCAGAATGGACTTGGGAAAGTGGTGTAGCAGGAAGAGCTGCATCCACACTTGTCGTGGAAAAATAAGATGGAGAAAAAATTCAGGTAGTTTTCTGTAGGACAGCTTCCTCGTTTTGGAATCAGCATTATATAAGTAGAAATAGAAGTATCTGATCAGTGGGAAAGCATCACAATTTCTGTGCCAGTTCAAACCGTGTTCATCTGGTAACTCTTTATAACTTTGTATGGCTTCTTCTGTAAGTTAATGTTCTGAAAATAATTCTGTGAATATTTTCCCCACCCCCTTTAGTCCATGATTGGCAGCTGTGGCATGAGAGCATTTAGCCCATGGCTGCTCCTTGCTGTACAACTTTACTCAGGGCCACTTGTTTGAGTCAAGTCTTAAGGTCTGTGAAATGTTTGCCTGCTTCTCTCTGTAGCTCTTTCTCCAGAGATACTGCTGAAGCTCTCTTATCGCAGGACTAAGTATTTCCATGTGATGGTGGTCAGCTGTGTGTGTGCACGTGTGTGATAACGCAAGGAAGGTAACTGAGGTCACCCGGAGGGGTGTGCAGTCCTCAGCTGCTTCTGTGCTTCCTCTGCGTGCTCTGAATGGTCGGGCACCACTTGCTAAGTCTGCTGCATTCTGCAACAAATCAAGATGCTTATTACAGAAAGAAGCTCACAGTAGATAAATTAGCTAGCTTTAACTCTTCTCCTCAATTGTTATGAATATTTCTGGTTTTCTTACTGGTTGTATTTTCTTGTGAAATGTACTCTTGAAGAGAACAAATTTCATGGGAGTAGTGATATCTTTAAGAATAGTTATATCCCAGGCTAGATTCTGGGATAGGAGGGACTTTTTGTTTGGGGTTTTCATGGTTCTGGTGCTTTTTTAAAGCCTGCCTTAATTTTTCAGTTTAAGGTTCTTTACCTGTGAAGAGAAAACCCTAAGCAACATGTGTAACTCTGAAGCTGACATTGTTTTGGGGGAAAAGGGGTTGAACTGGATGACCTCCAGAAGTACCTTTCAACTTTAATTATTTCATAATTATAATGTTATTAAAGGTTAGGGGGAGCAGACAGGTGTGCAGAGAACCAAAACCAAACAAAACCCCACTGACATTGTAGCGTGCAGTTATATAGCTCACCTGTGAAATTCAGCTACAGAATGCTTATAGCTAATGTGGTAGTCCAGTGAAAAGTGACTTTGATCCATAATGTGAAATGTCATATTTACAATAGTAAGATTAGTTTGTTCCCTATGCTTACAATCAATTTTTGCTTTAATTTATTGTGTGCTTATTATATTATGTAATTAAAGTTTGTGCAGTCAGTGCATTTGCTGGAGTTTCCTTGGAGTGAAGAAAAGCAGTCTCCCTGAGGAAAGTAATTTGTGTCTAATGTTTGGGTCAAAAAAACCTGAAAAAAGCAGTACCTCAAGCTTAAATAGGGAGTTTAACTGTATCTAAGGACTAGAGTGGTGTCACATCTCAACTTGTCCATGTTTGTTCTGCTGCTGGACAAAGTGTGGCTCTCAGCTGGCAGCTGCTGCAGCTGGTTCAGGGCGTGTGTGTGTCTGTCCTGCTTCAGCAGCCATCCTGGCTTAAGCACCTTTGCTAACCTGAGTTATTTTGGCTGATGGAGATCAGGGAGCCTGTGGTGGGTTTAGCATCCCCTGTGAAGCATCAGTAATCTGCTGGGGAGGGTTACACACAGGCTCTGGCTGGCACGGCTCTCTGCTTCTTGTCACACGCAGGCTGCAGTGTGCGACCAGCTGTGACCATCGGGGAAACTAACCTGTACCTGCGTTACTTTCTGGCAAACTTTTTACTACTTTTTTTTTTTTTTTCTTCCTCAGTGGTGTTTCAAGGTGCTTTTGGCACTTTGAACTTGTGCCTGTACATTACTGGGGTAAAGTAACCTGCTGTAAGACAGAATTATATCAGTAGAAATTTATGGATAAAACTGCAAAGGTACAGTTAATTAAATTCTTACTCTTGTGTATACAGACCTGTCCATATTTTTACCCTTCAGTCATCAGCTTTTAATTCCAGAGATCACTTCATTACTTTCCAAAATCTTAAATCAGCAAAAGATTTATTTTTTGTAAAACCAAACTCTTTAAAATTCCAGTTCTCTGAGACTGGAAGATAGCTTGTGCTGTCTGAGTCCCGTGTATCTGATGATGCAGTGCTGCAGATTTTGTAAGGAAATACATTCCTTCCTGAAGATCATTGTCTAAGAACTGCCTTTCTGTATCAATATTCAGATTCATTTTGTTGACTTTGCCAGGCCTTCTCTAAAAGTCTGTTTACATTTGTTTAACTTAAATTGCTTTTGTTCAACTTGATAGTAAGCCAGGCTGGACTAAGCTCAGTATTTGAATGCCTTTGTCGGAAGTTGAAGTAGAAACTTGAAAAATGTAAACCACCAAAGAACTAAAGCCAAACCCTCTGCTATTGTCATATGAGCCCTCATAAACAGTTGGTTCATTCCAAATAAGCTGAGGTTACTGTTTATAATTTAGCAGTAACTTTGTGGTGTGAGAACTACCCTATTTAGTGTGGTAATGTGTTTCCTTTGAACTCTTAGCAGGACAATATGTCAACATGATTCTTAATTGGACTTAATATGAAGATTTTTTCAGAATGCCTTTCACATGTTTATAGGAATTGAAAAAATCCCAAACTAAATAAAAAATTTGACAAAAAATTGACAAACACCCACCCACACCCTCTTAATAAAATCTAATCCTGTATAGTTGATAATGAAGAAAAAAACCAGAGAATCACAAAATTACTTGGGTTGGAAGGGAACATAAACGTCATTCAGTTCTATCAGCCCTGCCATGGGCAGGGATGCCATGCTCTATGTTAGTTTGCTCAGGGCCCCATCAAACCTGGCCTTGAATGTTTCCAGGAATGGGGCATTCACAGCTTCTCTGGACAGCCTGTTGCAGTCTCTCACCCCCCTCACAGTAAACAATTTCTTAATATCTAATCTGACCTGCTCTCTTTCAGTTTGAAGCCGTTCCCCCTTGGCCTGTCACCACATATCGTTGTAAGAAGTTCCTCTTCATCTTTCTTGTGGGCTCCCTTCAGGTACTGGAAGGCTGCAGTTGGGTCACCCTGAGCCTTCTCTTTTCCAAGCTGAACAATTCCAATTCTCTCAGCCTTTCATCATAGGAGAGGTGTGCCATCCCTCTCATCATCTTGGTGGCCTCTGCTGGACTCCCTCCAACCGTTCCATGTCCTTGCTGTGCTGGGACCCCTGAGCTGGATGCAGCCCTGCAGGTGGGGTCTCACAGGAGCAAAGCAGAGGGGCAGAATCCCCTCCCACAACTTGCTGGCCACGTGTTTTTGGATGCAGCCCCAGGACATGTTTGGATTTCTGGGCTGCCGGTCCACATTGTTGTGTCCAGCCTCTCATCCAAGAGAGCCCTCAAGTCCTTGGCAGGACTGCTCTTGATCAGTTCATCCCCCAGAACATTTTACCTGGGACAATGTCAACAGTGATTTACTGGAAGGACGTGTGAGAAACTCAGTTTGTTGTGTGAGGGTTTTGCTTCTTTGTTTGGGTTTTTGTTTTGTTTTTCCTTTTAATCTGAAGGAAGCTTCCATGCATATGCAGATGTGCAAGTTTGTAAGGGTTGTCATATTAGTAGTATTGGAGAGGTTTGCTGATTGCTGTACAGTATCTTCATGTATCAAGTACCTCATCTGTGGCTGTAGTTCAGTGAATACTCCAAAGACTCCAAATGGTCATCTTGCATAACACCTGAACGGGCAATTTGGCATTACAGATAAGCTGGTGTAACGTTGTGGGCTTTTTTCCAAAAAGAAGTGGTCTTGATTCTGGTTCTACTTGCTTTTCCTGTGTTGTGTGTAACAATTGTTAGGTGCAGGGTGAATAAAGTCAGAAGATGAGTTTACAGCTATACAACCATGAAGGCAAATGCAGAGTGGAACAAAGCCAGCAGCGGGGCTACCTCTCATGAAATACTGTAATTGTACCATAGAGAATGTATTGCCTCCAAGTGTTTGGAAAGAACAGTTTGCCCTTCTGTGACATGTTATTGTGATCTGTGGCAGCTGGAATGGGCCTGGCTAAACCTAATCCAGTGAAAGGGAAGTCTTCAGTCAGGTGAGCTTCCTGGTCCTGGCTTATGGTGCAGCTTCAGCTGTGGTGTAGGGAATCAGTTTGGGGGTTTTTTCTCATTGTTTCCTTTTGCAGGCTTCAGGTGGAGGTGCAGGCTATGGCTGACAGTACACAGGGCAGGTTACCTGATTAAGTAGCTGTCTCCTTACCTAGCTCTGGCATGTAGCCAGTGCTCCTGTGAGTAGACTCTACTTGCAGACAGGCCTTGCCTTTCCTCCTTTTCGCGGTTGGTTGTGGGACTGGTGAGCTAAGCCAGCTTGTCTGTAGCTGATGGGGCAGGTTCTAGAGATACCATGATAAAAGAGGCAGAAGCCAAGGCCTAGAAGTGGGACTATCCCTTTGGTGGCCCAAATTGTAAAAATGATTTGTCAACTGAAAATTTATCCTAGTGATTCTGTTTTCTCATGTTTCCTCCCAGTGTAGCACTTGCTTACAAGAAAAGGTAGTGAGAGCACTGATTTTAAATTAATTGCACAGGTATGCCTACAAATGCATTCTTTCTGTATTGCTCTGTGCATTTGAATTACTCCCTTATGCTTTTGCAAGCATCTCAGTTTCCCTTGTTTGCCTGCAGGTCCAGCTGCTTCAGTTTTGTGTTGTTACTTACCCTGTGTATATGCACTGTCTAAATCTTGGTCTCATGTGAATTTAAAAAACAGTATCTAACTGGGTGTCAAGGGTCACATAAATATTCCTCAGTTCATTAATAAAGAGACTATTACTCCTTTAAATCTGCCAGCTGCTCTACCCTCTTGAACAGTGTGGTTTATAGAACAGTAATTCAAGAATAGCTCATTTAGCTTGCTGTGTCCATTGAGCTTTTCCTGTATGAAGCCCTGAACACAGTAGCATCATTTGTTTCACAAATGTGTTTGAATTCCTTGGTTTAATTTATTATCTGTAAAGTATTGCAGAAAACTGCTCTAACGTATAAAGAAATCTTGGGGGGATCTTCAACAAATTTAAGCACTAACTCAGGCACGTTTAATCATAGAGGGATTGTTAAGTGCATTCTATTTCATGTGTAGGAGTTTATTAAACAACTTTGGCACCGGCTATGCTGAATTCTTAATTAGTATATGACTAGTTTGCTAATGGAAGTGAGGACTAGTTTCCATTTTAAGGTACAGAGTGTCTGTAAGCCCTATGTCGTGACCTGAGCTAAAATCCTTAGTTGACTTTGAGGTATATTGGAATCATTCAGTACTGAGGCAGTATGACTAGAGAAAGAGATTTTCCTCTTCCTTTTGCAGTTGGTTTTCTGTTATATTAACTTCTTGAGCTTTCCTAAAAAGTCATGTTGACCTTCCTGTATTTTACTGTGTTGTGGTTTAACCCCGGGCAGCCACTTGCTTGCTCGCCCACCAGTGGGACTGGGGAAAGAATTGGAAGGGGAAAGCAGAAACCACACAGACAAGCAAAGTGAAACAAGTAATAATTCACTGTATCCAGTTGACAGGCAGGTGTTCAGCCACGCCGGGGCAGGTTGCTGGCTGAATATCCCATGTGATGGCAGGGCCCTATCATGCATAATGCCTGCTTGGGAAGACAAATGCCATTGCTCCATCTCTTTCTTCCTCTTTCCATTTTTATGTACTGAGCATGATGTCATATGGTATAGAATATATACCTCTGGTCAGCTGTCCTGGCTGTATCTGCCAACCAACTCCCATGTACCTTCAACTTCCTCACCAGTGTGGCAGCACAAAAAGCAGAAAAGGTCTTGGCTGTGTGTGAGCACTGTAAGAAATAACAAAAACATCTCTGTATTGTCAGCCCTGTGTTCGTGACAAATCCAAAACATAGCCCATACCAGCTACTGCAATGAAAGTTACCTTTCCCCCAGCCAAAACCAGCACACTGATAAAAGAACAAAAAGTAAAGTTCACAGTAACTTCTGCACTCATAACTGGTTAGTGTACTTGTGCCTCTAAAGTATCTAGAACGTACTTGTGTAACTTCATTAGTTGAACAGGTTGATTTCATTTAGGAAAGACCCCTGTATTAAGATACATCCCATACATAGTAATTTGAAGAATCATTATTCATTCCATACATAGAGTCAAACTGGTTTAACAGTGCCAGCAGGGTAAATTAAACTACTAAAATTTTACAAACATTGTACCAGTAAAACTGGTCAGGGGTATGCGGTACTTTTTTCTAAAGTAAATTGAAGATTTTTGGAATGGACAGAATTTTCTCCCATTGGGATTTCATGCTAATGTGGTTTGTTCTTACTCATTTAAAGGACATTACATCAGTATCAAGGCACTTGATAGTGGACCAGCTCTACCAACTGTGTAATATAATAAAATGAGAGATGCTGTCTTTTATATCAAATTGAGCATCGAAACCTAATGAAATATACTTCCTGGTACTACTTTTAAAGTCCTTAGTCTACAAAGGTATAATATTTAAAGATACTATTAATAGGAACCTCCTACTAGGACAATTAAAGTTGTGTAACTTGGGTCCCTGGAGAAAGTTAAGTTAAATGGTGATGTCTTCAAGGTATAACTTAACTCTCGTAGTGGAGAGGTTAGTGCTTCTTACTACCAACCCTCAAAATTGCTGTCTGCTCTCATGGGAATGTTTCCTGACCCATTTCAGTTGAAGTAAGCCTGAAATACTTTTAAAAGTAAGTATTTCATAAGTTATTTTGACTAAAACTTTGAGAAAACCCTGGCACAAAAAAGCTGAGGAAGAACTAGAGACAAGGGGTTTAACTGGTGCAAGCTAATGAAAGTTTCCCACTGCTATGGTGGCCTACAGAGTGCTTATCTTAAGGAGCAGTGGAACACCATTGGTCTCGATGATGCCAGATTCACCACCAGCCTGTTTGTACTAACTGTTGATAGTGATGCATTTAAAAATAATTCTGAGTCTTGTCAAGAAGGCTCACAAACTCATTTACTGGGACATAAACTAACAGTAACTTACAGACATACAGTAATGTACTTACAGTAATGTAACTTACATACATAAACTGTATGTAACTTACAGACAAAAAGATTTTGGTAGCATTTTTGAGTCTGAAGATGGAACAAAAAAACAATAAATGCATTTTAATGTATTTAAGAGGAAGTTTAATGCCTGCCTTCTGTCAAAATACCTGCTTTTAGATGCTGCTTCTGGTGGATGGGGGATTGAGCTTTTGTAAGGAAAGAGACAGGTATATAATTCTGTTTATTATTTTTTCCAAATGTTTTTGAAACAGCTTAATTTTTTATTCAATTATGTGGCAAGTAATACTCAAAGACAAGTGTCAAACACTCAAGGAATAAATTGAGTACAAGTGTAGTGATCATCCTTGTAAAGCAGGTCTAATCCGTCTAAGTACAGATGCTGATATTTGTGTTACTCTGTACTTAGAGCCAACCGAAGCAAAACTTTTCTGTGCTGTGTATCTTCTGAGCATGGGATTTTTCCCTGTTCCCAGAAATAAGAAAGTAAAGGGATCATCACAGACTAGGGGAATACAAGGCTGCCAAACTAGAATGTATTGTACATTTGCAGAGGCAGCAGTCTAATGAGATTGACAGTCTTAATGTTGTTAATTTGACATAGTTGTCAGCAACACATCTTTTTAAAGGAAAAATTTAGAAAGGTTATGTTTGTTCTGTAGTTTTACAGTGTGTCAGATTATAATGGTAGAAAGTTGTAGAAGGAAGTAAGAGAAGATGTGACAATGTCAGTGGCTAAATGGCCATGGGACAAAGCACTTCTTACCACTTCATTTTTCAGGAATTTTGTGGTAGAAGTAAAGGCAAGAATCTTAGTCTTATGTGAAAAAGGGAAACCAGTAGAGCAGTTGAGTAATACTTGTTGTAGGCAGCTATAGGCTTGCTGGTTGAAACAGCAGCAGTTGAAAATAATTTTTGCAGGAGTATTCAAAGTGAGATATAAATGAGGTAAAAATTATTCGGGCAGTGTTTGTAAACACAGTATAATGCTTGTGTGTTGGCAGGAGCCTTGGCTCTCCTTTCTCTCTTGTAGTCATAATATAACTAATATTATTACAGTTATTTTAACTCTTGGGCATTATAAAGCAGATCCTGGAAGTATGTGCAGCTTTTTTATGTTGTGGTGTCTGGTCTTGTAGAATTCCAGGTTTCCTCCTTTCAGTGTTTTAGATAACTTTAGAAAGGAAGTAAAAATGTGATTATCGGTCTTAAACATCTGAATAAAATCTGGTTTATTGTGATTTGTCTCATTCATTTTGAAAGGAGAAGAGAGTATTCTAAGAAAAAACCTGACAATTAATTGGCTCCATCTACTTCTTTCCTATACTAACAATAAACATTTCTCATATGTGGGCTGGTGTGTCCTTTGAATGTGTGTGGCATGGTTTACAAGCATGGAAAAGAGCATTTCCGAAAGCAAGAAGATTCACATTAGATGAGAACACCTTGAAGATCACTTCTGGTTATTGAAGATCAAAACTCAGGCTGATGATACTTAGAATCATTAAGGTTGAAAAAAGATTGAATTTAGCTGTTAACCAGCACCCCTGTGGTTGCCACTAGGCTGGTGCTGTACACTTCCAGGGATGGCAATTCCAACACTTTCCTGGGCAGTCTGTGCCAATGCCTGACTACTCTTTCAGTGAAGAAATTTTTCCTAGTATCTAATCTATACTGCCCCTAATACAACTTCACTCCCTCCTCCTTGTAGAGATCAGGAAGTTTCTGCTGTGCCTCCTTTTCTCCAAGCTGAACACCCCTACCCCCTTCAGCCACTGCTCAGGCAAGTTATGCTCCAGCTTCGTTGTCCTTCTCTGGACATGCTCCAGCACCCCAGAGTCTTTCTTGCAGTGAGGGGCCCAGAACTGCACATGGCATTTGAGGTGTGGCCTCACCAGTGCCGAGTACAGGGGCATGGTCACTGCCCTGGCCCTGCTGGCCACAGCATTGCTGATCCAGGCCAGGATGCTGTTGGCCTTCTTGGCTACCTGGGCACACGCTGGCTTGTATTCAGCTGCTGTTGACCAGCATCCCCAGGTCTCAGCCCATTGATCCAGCCTGTCCAGATGTCTCTGCAGAGCCTTCCTACCTTCCAGCAGCTCAGCACTCCTGCCCAGCTTAGTGCCATCTGCCAACTTGGCGAGGGTGCCCTCGATCCCCTCATCTGGATCATTGATAAAGATGCTAGAGAGGGCTGATCCCAGTACTGAGCCATGGGGAACACCGCTAGTGTTTGACCACCAGCTGTATGTCGCTCCATTTGCCACCACTCAGGGCCCAGCCAGGCAGCCAGTTTTCTACCCAGGGAACCCTGGTCAAGCTATGAGCTGCCAGTTTGTCCAGGAGAGTGCTGGGTCAGATGGTGTCAGAGGCTTTGCTAAGCTCTAGGTAGACAACATCCATGGCCTTTCCTTCATCCTCCCAAGTAATTTTCTTTGCTGGGAAATGAAGGTTATGAGGTGTTTAGGGAACATTTCTCAGTTTCAGGTAGCTTTGAATTTAGAATATATTTATTATTTCATGTGAAACAATTCAGCCACTGAGAATGTTGGCTGGAGTAACTCAGGAAAATAAGCTTTTAAAAACATGAAAAATGTGCTGAATTTTAAAATTTACATAATAGAAGAAGAACAGCTGAAGCGGTTATTTTCTGTTTAATTCCTTGCAGGGTTGTCTAAAGAGTGATTAAGCATACCTGATGTGCAGTCTAACACAGATACCCTAGGTAAGCAAAATAAGAACTACAAAACCTTTTACAGCTGTCCCAAAGTTAGCTGAGAATTTGTAGGTAGTGATGACCTGTCCTCCTCCTCTGTCCCCAGAGCAAGATGAACAGCCAAACACATAGCCGCTCCTGAGAGGGGGGACCTTCCTTGTCGCTCAGGTGGCTGTATGCTTGTCTGACTCCAGAGTGACCTGTGTCAGCCAGCTGGCTGGGCCAAAAGCAATGCCTACAGTTTCATAGTGCAGTTCAACTGAATTACCTGCTTCCCACCAATAACAATGGAACGGAGGCTTGCCTCCTCCTTGAACCTTCCTTGTTTTCCTCCCTCTCTTGACTTATAACAACATATTCTTCCTCCTGGCTGCAATAGAATGAATCTGACTGCAAAAAAAATCAAGTTCATTGTGCTTACCTAGATGATGTTTGGTGCATTTCTGCCAGCTGAGTTTTCTCTCCTTTTAGTGAGTTGAATTTTCCTACTGTGGGGTCAGGACCACTGCACCTTGGTCAGGCCGAGCAGGACCTTCTTCCTGGGAGTGAGCTGTAAATTCTGTTCAAACTGCTTTTGAAATTACTCCTTGACTCGGCAAATAAGAAAGAAGTTTCAGTTTGCTTGAACTGATTTCTCAGGCATTATGTGTATGCTAAGCACATGAAGAGATGAAAATCTAAGCCAAAAATGGAAAATGGGATAAGAACGCCTATTTCAGCTCTCCATATCTGCAACGTGAGATGTTGTCTAAGAGTTTAGACTTGAAATATTGAAGCTGGTTTTTTTTCACTGTTATACATGCTCTTCAGAGCAAAGTTCCATGGTTTATTGGAGGTGATTTCAATTAAGATATTTTAGTACAGAGTACTGGTGTTACAAATACTGATTTCGTCAGTGTCCTTTGGTTTAGGGATCGCTGAGTTAAATAAAGCAACAACACACTAAAGAACCTACTTCTGAGTGTTTATGCAAATTGAAAGTGCAAGTGTCCAAATATAAACCACGGTGTGAGTAATGCATAAATTCTTGTCGATAATAGTGAGTACATTCCTTTTCCATTGTGTGCATGCCTCCCATGCTCAAACTCAGATGATTTGTGTAGCTTTGACGGCTAGTTCTGCATCCGTAAGTTGAACCACTTTGTGCTTGTTCCAGACAGCATGAAGAGGTAGAACAGGTTCAACCTTTTCTCCAGGTTCCTCTTCATCATAAGAGTTCAGTCTTGTTTGTGTACTTGATGTCCTGTGTTCATGCAAGTGCAGTTCAAATGAGTCTCTTAGATAAGTTTAAAAAATTCTCTGCTAGGTTTATGCCTCTCTGAGAGCCAGTTTCCCTACGACTGGTGCCTTGTATTTGAATACATCTGTATTCCTTTACTGCTTTACTCCAAGGTGAAACACGTCAGTTTAAATCACTTTCAGTCTCCAAGCTAAGTTGTTTTACTTAGCTCACATCTTGACTGTGAGGGCAGATTTAGGAGAATTAACCAGCTGATGCAAATTAATACCTCAAAGTGATTTCTTTGGTATTGTATAATGAAGTAGCACTCATTTTTGGCACTCTGTGTCAACAGTACAATATTTTATTGCTGGTATTTTATTTAAAAGAAGAAAACATTGATAAGACACATTGCCTGCCTTGAAAATTCCAAGTGCTCTTTGAATAGTGATTGTGGTGCAGCTCACTGGATGCAGAAGTGGGCTAATAGAGTGCTCCTGCAAGGATGCTGACACCCAGATCTTCCTAGGAGATAATGCTTTTCAGCATAAGCTTCAGTGTCATATCTCTATATGCATGCCTGTTATCTTTTGTCCTAATTTAACTAATAATGCAGCATGCTAGTGAGTGATTAAGAATGGTCTACAGTGCACAAACATTTCTGTGTTTCCTCTTTCACACATTAATTAGGCTTTAGTATACCGCTGGGCTCACCTCCATGGCCTGCAGTTCTTGCTCTAGTCAAAAAATATTTCTCTTTCAAATTTTAAGAGCAGAAATAGCTTGACTTAAATTTGAGTTAAAAGTGAGTTAATTTTTTTATTTGCATGGCTCATTGGGGGTGGTTTCGAGTTTCATTGAGGAGTAGGTAATTCCTAGGAGTTCCAGAAAAGTTAAAGAAGGAAGACCAGTGTTAGTGTAAGAGTAGTGTCTTTGTTCATACAAGAGGTAGATATTGCAGTGTTTTTAATTCACTTTTGTCAGTAAAATTGTTTATATGGTGCTTTATAATTCGTGAATGTTCCTTTTAAGTACTGACTAGTGAATATTTGTATATCAATAATATAATACATAATGTATGCCTTGACAAGTAAACAAGGCATGCATATGAATCCTTTCTACTGCATTAATGTAGCAGTGTCTGTTAAACCCTACAAAATTGTTGTGAAGATTTGAGCTTGTGCTGTAGCTGCAGTATTGATAACGAAACAGCATCTTTTTTTTTTGAACACTTATCTTCTGTGTCCCAAGTACTGCTGCCTCTTAGTTACAAAATTGACCTTCAAGCACTCCTGTTAATACTAAAAAATCTGTATGAGTCCAGAAGTTAGATTTGCCCTTCTTGATTTGCATTAACAAAAGCTGTCTGTGTTCCACTTTTTTAAGGTGTTAAACATGGACCTGCTGATGTCATGGACAGTAATAGACTTCTGTTCTCACAGTGATTTATTATATTGTTGCTTGTTGGACAAGCAGAAGAAGAAAATAGGAAGTCTCTGTGTGAGTTATTTAAATAAAACAATACAAAATTTTAAAACAGCAAATTATTTCTTTTTATAGTATAAGCAAAACTTTAAATTCTGCAGGGTTGTCATCTTCATAAAACTGTGAACGCACTTATGTGAACTATATTTTCCCCAGAATATTTTTACTTTTGAAGCTACAGATGTTAAGCATCTTCTTTCCTTTCTTTGACAGGAAATTCTGGTGATTAAAGATCATGGCAACCATAGAGGAACTGGCCCATCAAATTTTTGAACAGCAAATGGGAAAGGTACATAAATTTTGAGTCCTGTTTAAGAGAAATTGAATAATAAAATGCACACACTGATACGTAAAAGCCCAAATCACAAAAGAAAATTTTTGGTACAGACAAGGATTCTGGACACTTCCCTCAGAAGGCAGAAGAACCTGTTATGTCCATTTTAAAGTTACACTGCAAAGCCTTTTGTACCAAAGCTCGCCCCACAGAAATTAAGAGCAATCTATCAGTGTTTCCAGTAAGTCACTAGCTTTTCAGCTTGCTGTCTGAGCCTGTAGTGGTTTTCAGAGAGCCATCTCTTTGTGTAATTGCTTTACTCACTTTTAGTTTAAAAAATCAGGACACAGCTTTTACTTTACAACTATGCAATTACTTAATTTGTCTTTTTTTTTTCCACTGGTAAAGTTTTGCCATGTTCTTCACTTTCACATATATGTGCTTGCTATGTATCAAAAGAAAGATTGAGCTCCTGTTTCTGCAGATTTCTAGTTTTAGTTCTCTGACCTGTGTGCAGAATCTGTGTACTGCAGCCAGAGACCTGCCAGAGGTGCACAGATAGTTTGAGAGTGTGGATATGAGTATACATAGTTATCTAGAAATTTTCAGCATAGCATAGACTATTTAAAATTAGCACCACTTTAAATTAGATAGAGGCAGTAATTTATTTATCTTAAATAAATGTTATTTTTTAGCTTGAAATTTCCACTCTTGGATTCTTGTCTAGACATAGACTTACTTCTCAAGTAATTTTATTTCCTCTCAGCATTTCAGATGGAAAGGTTGGAGTGGGGGATGGGATGGTTAATTCTACTCTGAATAAATTCTCACAGCTTTTATTTTTGCAGCATCTAGTGTTGCTAAGGCTATCTCAAAAGGACATAAGTGGTTTATGGGATGTATGATGTTTGCTTGTTACTACTTGTCCTCTTCATTAGGTGAGAACACGTGTTTAATGCAGTTTTGTTTTGGAACTATAATTCTTTGTTGAGGTCTAATAGGGCTGTATTTCCTGTTTAAATTTGTTTGGTTTTGACAGTACAAGGCTAGTCAAAGCTAGCTGAAGTGTACATTCCACTCAGGGAATGGTGTGATGAGGGTGTTTAGCCTCTGGGGGTTGTTTCTCAATTCCTTAATGTGATTCTAGGAGACACTGAGCTGACTTAGTATCTCAGTACCATGAGAGAGAGAGGGTCTTTTTTCTGTTTCTTTCCTTATTAATTTCAACACGAACAGCAAGCTAATAATCCAGCCAAAACAAGTGAAGGTTTTCTGCTGGATTAGTAAGAGTAGGGTCTGAGAGGCTCCAATGACTACCAGAGCCAGCACAAAGAAATGGCTGGTAGCCAAAGGAAGGCAGGGGAGAAAACAGGGAGAGCGAAGGTGCAGTGCTGCAGAGAGCTGTAGCTGTTCTTGTTCATGGTGAGATCACAGCTCTACAGTTTTCATGGCTGTTGTTTTGTCAGCAGTGTACATTAGGATTTGTCCTTTGGCAAGGTTTTACTGTGTCTGAGACGGTCACGCTGTATTGGGCAGCAGTGCAGCTCAACCATTCCCCAGTCCTCACTTAGCCACTTATTCTCATGCTATGCTAGTCTTGCTCATGTAAGTTCTGTGTGTCATCATCTGGTGGACAAAACTAGGAAAAAAAATTAATGACAGCATAGGGGAGGAAGGTCATCTCCCTGTTGGTTGTGATCAGTGTCCTTATTTCATACGAGGTGTGGCCCAGCCAGGCACATGGTTGGAAGGACTGAAAAGCATCCCTGAGGGCAGTGCAAGCTGGGACTCCTTAAGCCAAAATTGTTGTCAAAGGTGCATGCCATGCTTGAATGTGCTGCCTGAAAGGTGGAATCAGCAAGGAAAGCAGTCTCACAGGGGCCTCCATGCAATAACTTACAGCCTGTAGGTAGGCAGGAATGTAATTGCTTGGTGGCATTCCTGATCACTGAAAAATCATAGTTTAAGAGAGCTTTAGCAGTATTTTTGCTAGCATTTATAATACTGTTGAATGTTAAAGTAGTTTTAATTGAATTTAGAAGAAAAATTTACATGAGTAGAACCTGAAAGGCAAAAGGCCTGAGAGGAAAAAGTGTTCCACTGTTGAGGAGAATGGAAGTGCTTCTGTCTCTCATTGAAATAATGATCAGCAGAGTTTTGTACATAGATTATGATTTTTTATAATACTAATTGTTGTTCATGAAGCATTTTAAGTCACAAAATTACTGCAAGAATTTGACAGTGGTGTTCACAAACATGCTTTTGTTAATGTAGGACTTTTTGCATGAAAGCAAACTATTGAAGCAATATATAACCCTGTCTATATGGAGCATTGTGCAGTGACTGTTGTTGCTCAGACTCTGCCATCTGCTAGTCATCTTTTGCTCAGTGCAAGATAATTCCTATTTCTATATCAAGACCACATTTCTTGAATCATGTAGGGAATGAGCATTCTTCTTTCTTTAATTTCTGGCTGGGTGCACTAAGTATATGGTGGTTCATTTCTACAGTCCAGCCAGTTTGCTGTAGCAGAGGAAAGCTATATCGTTGTTGAAACAGTCTGCAACACACATAAAAAGTACAATTTTTAACAAATTTTGCAGTTGCTCTTATCAATAGTAACTGAAATAAAAACCTTGTATTCTGCATAGAAGTAAAACTGTCAAGCCGACATTTTGGGGGGTTAAAAAGTAGTTGTACATGTGGATCATGACATTTTAAGGGAGCAAATGTAAAGCGGTTCTATAATATGTAGCTTATTTTTTAAAGCAAAGGTAAATGCACGTAAAACTTTAACCACTTCTGAATCACCACGTGTACTGTCAATTTGAGTGGCTGATGCAGAACTTCAGTGCTTGAAAGTACCTCTTTTGAACTGAAAATGCTGCTGGTTAATGAACAGGGTTTTTTGTCCTTCACTTAAGCAGAGAAGCAGATGAATTGTTTAAAAGTACTAGTACTCAGAAAAATTGGGTATTTTTAGAAAGCAGTGTCCAGAAATGGCTCGGCAGTAGTCTGACAAGCATTTCTTTTGGTGGTGCTGGCAGTTTAAGTAATCTCCCCAACAGATTAGCCTCACTCATTTGCTCTGATGCATCTGCTTCTGAGCATTGTGGAGACTGGACTGAAGAAGACCTGAGAAGATCTGTGCTAAGAATAGCCTTTGTTTGCTGGGCTGCTTTTCAGCCTGCATCGGTGTCCTGTTCCAGATCACAGAATGACTAACCAGCCAGTTTTACCTACCACACTGAGGGGGGAGGAGCAAATAGATTATGAGACTGCTACCAAAAGTAGCACCTTTTTGGGCAAAATTTCAGAATCAGCATAAGTTGATAAGAGCTTGTATTTCTTTTAGAAGGGGAAGTCTTACCCTCCACCCTGTCCCTCTCATACTGACCTCAAGCTGCATGCTCGGGCCTGCTTTTGTCTGCTGGTACTAGCATTTAGATGATGGTGTGGTTGTAAAATTAGGAAGCTGATCCAGGAGGAACAAAAAGCCTCACAAACTGTTATGAAGCAGTACCTTTACTGCAATATACATATATATTCTCTGTATTAATTGGATGGGGCAGAGGGGCAATCAGGTGCAGAGAAGTATTGGTATAATTGTGTAAATACTGGGAATTATTGGTAATAGAGATTTGCAGCAGGCAGTTTTGTGAATAGTAAAAAGGTTTCGGAGTTACCTGGGAATTTAAGACAAAAAATTCAATTTGAAGGTGTCTGTACACTCTGTGAAGAGAAATTCTCTTGTAGTGCAAAAAATCTCTGACCTGTCTGATCGAGCCTCTACAAATAGCAGCTGTCCCTAATTTTTATTGACAGATAATGTAATGAATAACATAATACTTTCCCCCACATGCCATTGGCTGTAGGCTGTGAAGAATTTTTAAAATACTGGTAATTGTTGAAACACTTCCATGAATTGTGTTTGAGAGCATTCACACAGAGATTTTAATATAAGATACACTGTTTGCAAGCTTTATGCAATTTATTAGTTTTCCCTACCTTTGTTAATAGTTCCCCAGTATAGAATTCTTTAACAGAAAAACAGAATCGAAACTGCTGATTGCTGTGTTTCCATACAAAAACCCCTTCTGTCACTTCAAGTGAGTCATTAAAGTGCATTTATTGCAAACATAGCACAGCTGTGGTGGTAGGTATTGTGTCTCTGAACAAATCAGTAGTAAGTATTCAGTTCAGTTGACATACGTGGACATGTCAACAATTAATTGCTTTACTTAAAGTGTTTGTAAATTTCACATTGGAAGGTATTTCAAAATGGGTTTAAATCAGAATTTTCTAATTAGAAAAATTAAGGTGTTGAATTAGATTACAGGCATTTAGATTACAGGCATTTGCATTTTTTTATAGAAAAAGAGTGACAGACTTTCCATGGCCATGTTCAGAGAAACTGGAAGTGGTGAAACCTGGAGGTTTAATCCATTAAGGTAGTGGATCCATTAAAATAATATATCTGTTGTCAGTCCATTACATTTGTTTCTTCTTTCTAGGTTACACATTCCCAGGAAGGTGGTACACAAACACTAATGGATGGGACACCACAACGAATACAGATTGTCCCTGCAGATTCGGGCCTCTCTTTATCACAGCGTATACAGGTATGCTTCATCTGATGCATTTTAAAAGCAGAGATCAGCTGTTTGCTTCTGCCACTTTCCACATGCAGTTCTGTTTTGTTTTCATCGTGTTATTTGCTTTAATGTAAATATTCAGCCCCAGATGGCAGAGACCCTGTCTGTATAAATAGGAACAAAACATCATTCCAGTCTTTCTTTTTCCTTTTTTTTTTTTGCTTTTTCCCTTGTAAGAATTTTAACATTACAAGAATCCTAAGTCACTGAACAGAAAAATACTTTTTGCAAGTGAAGCTATTCCTTGAAAGTTGAATATTTTGTCTGTTTGGTAGTTCAACTAAGTTGCAGGATTTCTACATTTTGGAGCAGAAGTGGGAGGGAAATACTGCATTGTATCTTTGAAGTAATGAAAAAGTGCAGAGAAACTTAATGTCTGAGAACAATACTGATTTTTGGTTGTCCCAGCTCTTGTTGTATGTCTTGGTATTATAATCCATAACCTGGCCAAATAATAACCTCTAGCTGAAGTGAGGGTATTGAAGTTTTTGGTAATGTAAATTAACACAGTGTTTATGGAGACTAGGAACATTTGGGGAATGACATTTTAAGTTTTATGCCTTAGAAGTCAATGCAAGTCAGTTTTCTTTTTAATTTTCATTGTAGAAAAAATATTAACTGCAGAATAAATGTAAAAAATATTCTCAGATATACGTTGTTCATACAAAAGCTCACATTTAAGTGAGCCAGCTGCTAGTGTAAACTTGGCTGCTTTTTCTTTTACCAGCTTCACTGTAAACATTGTCCTCTGTTTTTCTCCGGTTTTGGTGCATTATGTTCAAGCTTTCAACCTTCCAAGGCTCTTCACAACCACCCCCCATACATTATAGGGATTTTTTAGATTTATTACTCCCCCACCTGTGCTCTAGGTTTGGTATGTGTCTTACCAATCCTGTACGTCTTCATTCTTTCACCTGCCTCTGCTCTGTTTCTACACTTTGTGTACAGCTGTACTTTTAATTAATTAATTTGTGCTTGTCAATTAAACACCATTCTGTCTTCAAAAAGGACAGTAAGCACTTTGGTTGTTGTCTCTTGATGTGTGTGGAGCAACACTCAGTCAAAACACTCATCCTTCCTGCAAGAGACATCTACAAACATATCACTAACTTAGTAATAAAAATTTTGCTCAGAGAAGAATTTATGTGAAGAGCAAAGTAGTTTGTAGGAATAAATGTATGTCTGTGAAATGTCCACCATAAATGCTACATTGAATAATTTTGAGTATATATTTTCAACCAATATTTTTTCCTCTATTATTACTAAATGCCTAATTATCTGAAACAATGAAATAGAAAATCCTCACTACAAAGTTCTTTAAAACGTGTTTCATTAGTCACTCTTCTTAGGGAATGCTAGCACTTCTTCTGGGAGAAAAGTTAAATGTTACATTTGTTCAACAGGCATTCTGCACAGAATTGCCCCTGTTATAAACAGGTGTATTAGTTGTCTGTGTTGAGACATTTTCTTTTTTGTAAAAACACAGTTACTGAGATGTTTAATTTATTGAAATGATGTTCAAATGGAAATCAAAACTTGTTAACAAACAAGGTTCAAAAGAATAAAGGAAAATAATATCTTCCATTATCATCAGGGTGCTTATATGAAATACATGAGGGTAGTGCATTTTTTATGCAGTCAACCCTGAATTGATATGTTATTGTTTTATAATATTATTCTTTTAGCAATATTGAGTTTCAGATTATTAAGAGAGATAAGGTGTTGTCACTGATTCATGGCCAGAAGATAAGTGTTTTTCCTCTTCCCTCTGACTATTTTTCTCTCTTACCTTGACATTTGGGTATTGCAGGTTGTTGTGCTGTGGTGAACTGCTCCACTTTTCAGTGTCTCCATTGAGTGTAGGTGGAGGTTTTGCAGGTGTATGGCCATAAGTGGTCAGCTGCAGCCAAGAACACGCTTAACTGTTTAAACTGCTTTCTCTTATGCCTCTGTCAGTTGTCAGATGCTTATTAGGTGCAGAAATCACTTGTGCAGGTTGAATGGCTTTGTAAGGATATTAATGTAGCACTATACCTACTGTATAATTTAGTATTAAAAACTGCCTGGGCATCTTTCTAGAATTGCAGGAACCCATTTGAAGACTGGGACTCTATTTGTTAAATAGAAAGTGAAGTGAATTGGGTGAAGTATCAGTGGTTCTTCTGCCTCCTGTCCTACCATAGTTATCTACAAGTACATATATTTTTTAATTACACAGCTGGGCTACAGTAGGAAAAAAATAACTTAGTATATATGTCCCAAAAATAATTTCAGCTGTAGTTCAAGTTTCTGTCTTTACTGTTTGGGACGTGCTGGTTTTTTCAGTATACTTTTTATAAACCTAACTAGATGGAGTGTGTACCTTTTTTGGGGTACTCACAGTTGTGCTTTTAAGATTTGATAGGGAGGCAGATTTTAGTTGAGTGTCTTTCAAAGAGCAGGCTTGGAAATTCAAAAGCAGCAGAGAGTTCTGTTTGGCTTTTGTATATCTATGCACCCTGTTGAGCATAATATGCATTGGATTTCTCCTAATCCAAATACAATAGGTGCTTGGAAAGAAGGGGATTGGAATATCAGCTACTTTGGAAATAGCCAAAAATTACACAGGAGAAATAAAGACTGTAAATGAAGGAAATTGAACAAAGAAAAAGAAATTAAGGAATGAACAAAGTGATCAGGGCAAGGAAGTTGGCATTCTAAAGAATATAGAACTAACATAAAGGAACTTAAAGAAAAAATAATGGTCTGCTGTAGCCATATGTGGTTCCAGACATGAGGATATGTGAAAAAACTGAACAGAAAATTTATCATGTCAATAATTATTGTCATGCTTTAGCATTGTCTTCTCACCCTACACCCCAAATGCCATGATAATTTTTGTTCTTTAGCATTTAGAATTTTATCATTTTACCTGCACTTTTCTCTTAGATATGCTTTTAATTATATTTTGCAGAGAAAAAGATTGAATTTTGATCCATTAAAATGTAAGAGCACAAGGCCACCTGAAGGAAACACACTAGTTTTGTGTAATGAAACTCATGATTTATGAATACTTGAAAGTGGCAATATTGTGTTACAGCTGCTGAAATTGGATACTCATCACTTCTTACCTTTTTAAAATGTAAACTATATACAGGTATTGAGCATTTAGAGAAAGTAATAAGCCTGTTGTGAAGGTGCAATAGCAAGGTTTATAAAAAATTCATGTGAAATTATGCCTCGTTCAGTTTCTTTGTGCCATGGTTCTCCACCTAGGAAATACAATTAATATTGGCACCCCAGTTACGGGGAACAAGGTATGGTAAATATTAGACAACTAAATAAATGTCATCTGTAATAAAAATAAAATTAATATCTGTAATATGAATGTTAGAGATGTGTAGATAAAAATGAATGATTGTCTACAGTTTAAAAAACAAGTTAATAGGAGCTATTTTATTGATCTGCAATTCAAAATAGTTTGCAGGAAACAGTCTTTGTAGGATAATTCTCCTTAGTCTCCAGAATAAAACCAGGCATTTTTCCAAATGTAGGCATTTTTAAGGAGATATGCAGTGACTAAAGTGAGATTTATAATGGAATATATATAGAATCTTGATTATTTTCTCTGAAGATTATAATCATCTAACAAAGTTGCAGAAAGTAGAGGATTATTTAATAAAATTCTGCTGTATTTGTGCTTAAAAATAGGGATAAAGTGGAAAAAAACATCCTGTAGATCTGTTCTTTTTCCTTAAAAAAAGAAAAGAAAAAAAGACAGGGAAGGAGATTCTGTTTCACTAATTTATTTAGAAATGTATGTGTAAAAAAAGTTCCCCACAAAATGAAGTCTAAAATGTATATACAGGTGCAACAATATAGTTGCTATTCCTGCTGTTTGCTGCTTACTTTTTTCACTTGGATGTGTCCGTTTGTGGTTTTAAGAAGTTTTTTGTTAAGTAACCTAACCTTGGAGGTGCTGCAGACACTTCATGTAGAGAGCAGTGAATTCACGATTTAAGATTTCTTATCACCCGATGGGTCTTAGGGCTCAGCTGCAGACATGCCTTGAGTTCTGGATGTTAGAGTTGTCAAGAGTTTCAGTAGTGTTGTTAAAACATATGTCAGTTGCAGAAATTGAGTACAAACTCAGGTTTTGACTTCAAACACCCCTGATTGAAATGTGTTTCAAATACAGTGAAAATCCAAGTGTGCCACCCAAGTTTTTCCCTGAGTTTAATTTGCTCTTGTGTGACGGAGGGGAAGATGATCCCGCTTCTCAAATGTGAAAGGCAAAATCCCGTTTTCTTCAAGTGCCCGGATTGGGTCCAAAAAGTTAAATCACCATAACAATTGAGATAAATGTATTATTAGATTGTCACAGATCAGCAGACGGGCCAGAAGATTCAGATTGTTACATCACTTGATCAGAGCTCAGCAGGCAAGCAGTTCATCTTAACAAATCATGATGGCTCTACCCCAAGCAAGGTGATCCTTGCCAGACAAGATTCCACTCCAGGAAAAGTTATCCTAGCAACTCCAGATGCTGCAGGTGTCAACCAACTGTTTTTTGCATCCCCTGATATATCTGCACAACACATCCAGGTAGATAATCCACTTTATTTGATATTTTTCATTCAAATGGCATAAGAAAAGATGTTTTATTTCCAAATAAGTCTGTCTGGGTTCTACTTTTTGGTTTTTTTTTGAAGTATAATTTTCCTTGCACTACGACTCACTGTGGATACTTAAAAATTATGAAAAAGTTTTTTTTAGTAAATTTCTTGCTTTTAAAATTTATATGTTGGCTCATGATGTTAGGAAGAATGCAGTTATTTTTATTGTCATTTCCAGATTCTGCCATGCCAACAGTCCTTTATTTCTGCTCATTAACTCTCCATCTGTTTTCATGTATTGTTGAAAAACATTCACTTTTCTCCATTGTCCTTCTCGCTTAACATTTCCCTTTGCTCGTTTTCCTTTTTGCACACTGTTGCAGCTGCCATTCAGCTGTGTGAATTGTAGTCCACAGCAGTGCTCAGGCTATTTAGTGGGGCAATACATTACTCCATGGGGGTGAGGAAATAACACTAATGATTTAGGGTTTACTAATATGATATTGTAACTAGGCAGGGTTGTAACTCCCTTAGCTGGTCCCCTGTGCACCTTACTCCCATGCGCATTATATGTGCCACTTCCATAGTTGCCACCGTCCAGCTTCCAAGCTTTCTGTCCCACATCCTCAGCCTGGCAGGGATGGGATGGCACTGATGTGAAGAACGTCAGAAACATGCAAGAAGAGCTGGGAGATGTGACCTCCTTCAGCATGAAGTAGGAGGTTACTGCATTCCAGCCAAAGTACAGTTTCTGCATGTATTCCACCCAGACACATTTATGCTGCTGTTACAATACATCAGTGGTAAGCCAGCCTACATTCAGATAGCTGCAGTCCATTTAGTCCCATATCAAACACTTAAACATTGGGACCATAAACAGCTGCTTAAGGAAAAATGTTAAAAGATGGGCACGTAAATAATGATCTTTTTGAGCATATCCTTTTATTTCCATTAGCTAATGATACAGAGGAACCTCCTGATTTGGAGACTGCAGTTATACCATCATATTTGATAGCTGCTATTAAAAGTTAAACCACCTTTTTTGTTATTTATGTAGACCGTGTAAGCTTTATTCTGTATAATAGCCTATAGTGTGCTAAGAATATTTGACCATCTGAGAGAATTGTTTAATTAGGTGTCTCTTGCACTAGAAGGTACTATTAAGGATTTGTGTGGGGGTTTATAGATCACTACAAAATCCTCTTTTAAGCAATCTTTTTTCAGCTGGAGACCCTTAAACTGATCAGTTTGTGCTCTTCTGTGAACCAGTCCACTGATTCACTACCCACATGTAGTGCAAGCTTGAAAGAATCTCTGTATTATATACTACTACTGGTTTTGAAATTCACAGTTCTTTGCAAATGGACATCCTGGATCCTTGCTCCAAAGAATTTGATTACTGTGAACAGGGGACCAGTAGCAAAAGCCAATCCTGTTGAGAGGCATTGAAGCATGCTTAGTGTTATCATACACTTTGTATTTTAGGAAAGCCTCAACAAAATATAAACCAGTGGGATATGAGTAGTCCACATAAAAAATATTTTCAAAGACAGCTTAAGAGATGAGAAGTGTGCCACACTGGTCTATAAGGCAAAATTCAGGAAAAGAGGAAATCTGTAAAAAAAATTGAAAGCTGTAGTTCTGATTGTATCATTTGGGCAAAGTAGGTCAGTTTGAGAAGCAACTGAATACTCTGTCACTCCAGTTAAATTGTTCTGTTGTCCACTGATAGGTATGGGTAGAGATTTCCTTTGTCCATTTAAAAGTTCATGAAATACAGAGTATCATTCATTTGCTGTTCACCTGCATCCCTTTGGGATCTTTTGTATTTTCTCCCTCAAATGATCTTCTCATCTCCAACTTTTCACCTGTTTTCCTCTTCTTCTTCTTCTTCTTCTGTAGCCTTCACTTGAAATGCCCATTTGTTTGTTCTGCCAAAAACCTCTCTGTAATTGCATCTTATCTTTACATTGACTCATTTGGCAAGACCCTTTCTCCCATCATCTGTTTTAATTTCAGTGGCTCTTTTTCATATCAATAATAAATTTTTATTTTTCATGTTCAAGGTCAGTTAATAAGTTCTCTGAGTCTGGGTTTTTTGTCTCCTCATGGGCCGATTCTGTAGTCCTTCCTTATGTGGAACTTCCCATTTCAGTGCAGCTTTAATTTATAGAAGGACTTAGAATTTATATTTTCTATAATATCATGAAAATACATAATGTTAATACTTGAAATTTGGAAGGATCAATAGGTTAATATTCTCTTAACTCATCATCTTATTTTTCTTTAAAAGTTGGTGTTTTTTTAAAGAAAACATATGAGATCAATCTCAGAGACTGTATTGGTATCAAGGCTAACTAGAAAGAAGTATCCTTGTTAAACTTTCCTACATACATCGTCTGTACTATATTCCAAACTCTAAAAAACACAATTTCTAATTTTTCTCTATGGAAGAGAGAGTACTGTCTGTTTTGGTTACTTCTCTTTTTATCAGAGGCCCTGTTCTGAACGTGCAAAGCAAGAATGAGGAGTCTGGCTTACCTTTAAGGCACAGTAGAAGTTAAAAACTCTTCAAGCTTCTAAACTATATTCTCTTTTGAATGAGAAGAACATTTTTTTCTTTTCTATGTCAAGATGATGTTTGGTTGTTACTTATGATTTATGTGTTCCTTTTTAAATGGAATTTTTGTTGTGCTTTATTTATGTTGTGGTGGGATAGTTTTCGAAGATTAAGTGAAATGTTCTGGTGCCTGCCCTGTAGTACTGGGATTCTAAAATTACGTGCTTAACAAAGCTTTACAGGTGCCAGAGATAAATGACTGAGACAAAACAAGAATATTTTAATAATGTCAAACTGTTACTGAAAGCCAAGCTGTATACCAGTCGGAAGTTAAAGGTTGTGTCCAGAGTACATTTAATTTTGGTCCATGTTTATGTGTATTATAAAAAAAAGAAGTTAATAAACCTCTGTGTAGGTCTAGTAGCCTTTGCAAGAAAATTTTTTGTTCCATCTGTTTAGTGCTTCCATCTCTTTTGTACTATTGATGAGCCATTAGTATATAAATATAAAACTGAACAAATAGTAAGAGTATGCAGATGCTACAAGTTTTTCAAAATGTCAGTCCATTTTGCAGAAGTAGTATTTAGAGAAATGAAATCTTGAATTCTTCTCAAAAGCATTACAAATAAAACTCTTGTTCCTTTCTGAAAGGGAGCACAGTGGTGTGGCAGGTAGTGACTTTGTGTCTCTGAAGACCATTAGATGTAATCAAGAAAACATGATACTTTGTAGATTTAGTACCGTATCTTAGACAAAAACCACAAGCATGAGATGTATTTTTCTATTTCTAGATGGTAAGAAAAATAAAAATTAAATTCTTTCACACTTTGTTTCAGATTTTAACGGACAACTCCCCCAGTGAACAGGGCCTAAATAAAGTGTTTGATCTGTGTGTTGTGTGTGGAGACAAAGCATCAGGTATTTGTTTTTTTCTTTCTTTTTTTTTAAGGTGGTTAAATATTATAAAAATCGTTTGAAATTCTTCTGAAGCTGTGTAACAGTTTGCATGCATATACATGTGTAAATGGTACTCTAGTATCCATGGATAGAATTTATTGTTGTTTTACATAAAATCATAGAATATCCCGAGTTGGAAGGAACCCTCAAAGGTCACTGAAGTCCAGCTCTTGGCCCTGCACAGGACACCCCAAGAGTCACACCCTGTGCTTGAGAGCCTTGTCCAAATGCTTCTTGAGCTCTGTCAGGCTGATGCTGTGACCACTTCCCTGGGGAGCCTGTGCCAGTGCCCAAACACCCCTTGGTGAAGAACCTTTTTCCTCACATATAGCCTAAAATCTCCCTGACCAGCTTCATGCCATTCCCTTGGGTCCTGGCACCAGAGGGAGTAGGTCAGTGCCTGCTCATCCATTTCCCCTTGTGAGGAACCTGCAAACCACTGTGAGGTCTCCCTTCAGCAGGGAGCAAACTTGCTAGAAAGTAAAATATATTATTTTTTTTTTTTAATTGGCAAAGTTTAACATAAAAAATACAGTTGCTAGAGCTCTAAATACTTGTCAGACCTCACCCATCTCAAGGAAGTTTCTGCCAAACTTAAGGCAAAGATCTGGTTGGTGTGTTCTGATTGTTAAAACTTCTCTGACTGCCCAGAGGAGGGCTGGAATCTCCTGGGGGGCTGGAGATCCAAGGAGGTTTTCCTCCTGTGCTGGCCTTGGAATATTGGGCAGTGGTAATGACTTTGGGGAGAGTGCCATGTTCCTCTGAGAAGCTGCAGGTTTTGGGGAGCCTCCCATGTGACAAGCATTGTCGTGAAAACTGCTTTGCAGGCACTTCCAAGCTGCAATCCAGAATGAATATTCATAATTCAGCTGCCACTAAAATGTTTCAGACAATATTCTTTTAATGCATATGATGCTTTTGAAATTTCACATTTTAGTAGTGGTAAAAAGGTTGTGATAAAGGAATCTAGAAAACCTGTCGGAATTTCTAGAAACTTCAGGAGAGAACCTTAAAGTTTTTTCTCCTAAATTAGGTCATATTTGTGATTTATTTTGTAATGTGCTGTAGGTATTTCAAGGATTTATAAATTAAAATTGTTGCAACTGCTAAGCATGCCTTCATTAATCCTTTTTATTAATGTTTGTATTTTATGCAAAATCAAAATAATTTACTTCTAAAAATAATTGTAGAACTTACTTTTTGTAGTATATCTTTGAAATTTTTATATTAGTTCTGCAAGAAAACTTGCAGAACTGGTCTTCAGAAAAAAAATTGTACTTATTCTAGATTGTTCTTTCATTGATGTTTTACTGCAAGAAGTACAGACGTGCCATTAGCCTGTTAGGAAAATGAAAGGTGAAAAGAAAGCTTTGAAGCAATTGCCTTATGCTGTCAAATGCCATGTTTGCACTTTCCATGGTTGCGTTAGATTTAAAGCGTACAATTTCAACAGCTGAAACTGTAATGAGAAATCATTGGAAAATTACTAGAGAAATCTATAAATTAAAAATTTTTTTGCTATGTTCTCATTAGCCTCTTTTCTTAGTCTTTTTTAACACTGCTGTCAACAGATAGGGAAATAATTTAATAAGCAACTTGCCTGTTTGTAAAATCCTGTTTAAGTGCTTTGAACTAGAAAAATGGTTCACTTGCTGTTTTATGTTGTTTTATAGCCCCAATATATTTTAAGATCTGCAACCCATGAGGTTTTCTATGCAAGTGTTCCTTTTCTGGGTGAAATAGCTAATACTTTGTCTTTAGTAAGAGTCGAGTCTAAAAAATTAATATGATTCTGTAAAATGAATGTCATGTTTTCTGTTACTTTGTAACTAGGGCGTCATTATGGAGCAGTAACCTGTGAGGGGTGCAAAGGATTCTTTAAAAGGAGCATACGGAAGAATTTAGTTTATTCCTGCCGAGGAACGAAGGACTGCGTCATTAACAAGCACCACCGGAATCGCTGCCAGTACTGCAGGCTGCAGAGATGCATCGCCTTTGGGATGAAACAAGACTGTAAGTCTGAATAAGAGCAATCTGCTTCACCTGGCAGCTGCTTCCTGCTACAAAAGATACGCTTTGTATAGATACAAATGATTATCTTGGTTACGTATTTTAAAATAGTTGTATCTTTTTCCTTTAAAGAAAGTTTGGTGTATCAGAAATATTAAATGCTTTCAGGTGTTTGCTTTAAAAGCTTAATAAGCCCCATCCCATGTGATGAAAGTGAATGAATTCACTTGAATGAATTCACTAAATTCCTGCATGGCAAATGTCAAACGTGTCTGCATTTTTTTTGTGCGGTTCAATTTTTTTTATATGTAAAATAAGTTACTCAACTTTTTGAACTGTACCTTCCTTTCAGTTTTTCCACAACTGAGGTTGCTATTCACATTTGGCAAAGCCCTGCAGAGATCCACAGTGATCTAAAGTTCAGTTCTTACCGATTCCTGCAGATTCCAAGTTCCTTTCTAGCTTTCCATACATTAGATGTAGTGCAATATCACGGCAGTATCAGAATACTAAATACACAGAAAATCACACAAAACACAAATTCTTCAGACCTAATACTGTGACACTGTTGTAGTACATACGGTATTGGTCTTGTTCTCTGTCATCCTGCACTTATTTTACTGACCCTCTTGAACTTCTGTGGACATTTTCCTCCTTACAGCCCTGCTTCTGTCAGCAGAAATCAGTAACACAGAGGAAATTAGTTCAGAAAGGGAGGAAAAGCTGGGGCAGTGAAAGTGGATCTTTACCCTCTAGTTCAGCTGGCAGTAAGTAAGAAAAGGCCCCTCCACACAAGACATTTTAAGCAGAACAAAATCACTGCGCTTAAGGATCAGAAGGCAGGAAAATAGTCTCTTGTCACAGGGGAACACTGACTGGGAGAGAGGATTGTTTGGTGGTAAGAAGTCTCATTCCTCAGTGGAGTGGAGAAAGGAAAGGAAAGAAAACTTAATATGGTCTTGGACTGTAGCTCCCTCAGTGGGGGTTATTTGTCCCTTGAAGAAGCCTTGGCCTTTTCTCAGCAAAGTGAGACCCTGCTACTAAGCACAGCATTTGCAAAGGAGGATTAAATACTTGCCTCCATCTCCCAAACTTTAAAGCACTATTTGTGGGTTGCAGGCTGACTTCAATAGCATTCTCAATACTTAAAATTACAACATTTGGGGTTTAAGATACTTTTCAGTGTAAACATTAGGATATCATCACAGTCTACTGCTATCTTTAAAAATTTTTAATTTTTTATCTGAAGTTACACATTTTTCACATTTCTGCATTTTCCCCATAAGGGGTAATACTGTAAGTTTCTTTTTAATGTTCAAAACAAGGTGATACATCTGGAGGCTAAAGCTCCAGTTCATTCCACCTTGTTTCACTGAGTCATTCAAATTAAAAAATCCACTTCTTCTCTGAAGTCATTAACTTGTGGGCCAGGGTCTTGCCCAGATTTATCTTAAATGGTCTGAACTCAGCTTTGTGAATGTACCTTTCCCTCTCTATTGTCTGAAGTCCTAACTCAAGAAGTTTCTTTAAGTGAATGAAGTTACAGGAGTTCAACACAGACCCAAAATCCATGGAAAAATGTACCATGAGTCCTTTACAAAGGAAATGAGAAAGTGGGATAGTGAAACTGAGAGAATGAGAAGCTTTAAGCTACCACTTTGATTCAAATTTAAAATGAGGGGATGTCTCCCTTAATTTTAACTTTAAAATGTTGCATATGTTCCATGTCAGACTTTGACTAATGCATAATTTCTCTTAGAACTCATCAAGTTGGTGTGCTGGCTTTTTCCAACTTGTTAGCTTGTTGGTTATGGGATATATTTTATATATATATATATATATACATAGATCTCTCTATATATATATATATATATATATATTAGCTACTTTTTCAGGATTATCATTAAAAACAAATATTAAATAAAGAAAAAAGTATTATTTCTTATTCGGGGTGATTTAATAGTTGGGTATTATTTCTGTAGCTGTACAGTGTGAGAGGAAACCTATTGAAGTGTCAAGAGAAAAATCTTCCAACTGTGCAGCTTCTACAGAAAAGATCTACATTCGGAAAGATCTTCGTAGTCCATTAGCTGCAACCCCAACTTTTGTAACAGACAATGAAACAGCAAGGTATGTAAATTGTATTCAGAAAGGGCTGTCTTTGTCTTCTGAAAAAAAAAAAAAAAGAATTTAAAAATTGATCAACATTAAAACTTGTGCTGTTTTCTGTCAGATCAACGGGTTTGCTGGAATCAGGAATGTTTGTTAACATTCATCCATCTGCAATAAAAAGTGAACCTACTCTGCTGATGACTCCAGATAAGGTATGTGATGATATCACTGATATAATAAGTAGAGCTAATTGCTGTAATTGTATAGGTAAGGAGAGAAGGGTGTTCTATTTGGTTAAATTAATTTTTAAAACACTCCTTTACAACATTCACCACTGTTACAAATGCTTTCTCTTTACAAGAATCCTCTTAGCCTCACACAGTAAGAATACTGAAAACACAACAAAATAAATGCTCTTCCTTCACATTTTTAGGAGCCTTAAGGGCAGTATTGTTTTAATTTTTGTTTTGGGATAATCCTGACACTTGGCTCACTCTTTTGTACAAATAAAGTGAGGTGTTCACAAAACTTCTCATGGCACTATCACAGTGTCGTGTGTAAATATGGTTGGATTTTTTTTCTCCTGAATAACTATTTTTTTGGCAAAGCTGATAAGACCTATCTCATCAACAATTTTATTTATGAGCTGGTTTTCCTTTGTTTCCATTTTGTTGCACTTACTGATCCACTAAAGCCATGTGGTAGCTTCTTTAGGTATGCATGGTAGGAAGCATTGTGTTTTTCTAGCTGATACTAAATTACCTCATGTGGGAGAATGGCTTGTAAAAGAATGGAGATAGTGCTGCAGGCAGTCTTGCCCCTGATAAGTTGCAGCTGTGTAAGACGGGTGAAGGACCAGCATTGAAGGAGAAGCATGGAATGCTGATGGGTATTTACCAATCACAGAGGAGTAAAAGGGCAGGCAGGTGTTATGCATGTGAGAGAAAAGGTATAAAGAGTTCTCAGGAGAGAGGTGGTGTTGGCATGAGCAGGTTGAGCTGTGAGAGGAAGGAGTCTGTATTGCTTGGTGCTGCCTGTGGGCTTGTTACAGAGAGAAGGTATGAAGACTTTAATAAACTGCTGATGCTTGCTGCCATCTTTGGTGCTAGTCTTTTGAGTCCTCCATCAATCAGGGGAAGTTTTTAGATAACAAGGGACTGACGCTGGTGTCATTTGTGTGACCACAATCAGATTGGTGTCCCATTTTAGGGGTGAGTGACAACAAATGGTGTACCCTGTGTGAGGAGTGACTAACAACACCCTCATGCTGTTTTCATGCATCTTGCTTTCCTTGCTCTGTCTGGTGTTAGCAGCAGCATGCTTGTCTGTAATAATGTACTTTTTTTTGCTGGGACAGTGTGAGACATGTCTTACTGCTTCTCTGAGTTGCTAGCCAGTACTGAATCACTTTTTTCCTTTGCAGTTTAACAAACATATAAACACTAAACAGGCCACAGCATAATTATTTTTATGGTTGTTTATAAAGGTGACTTTTTATGCATTCCTTCTTCTCATTCTCCTACCCTGTTACTACTGACTCATTTACATAGTGAAGGAAGATGCTAAAAATATAATCTAGAGCAGTCTTATATTCCTGGTGATAGACTAGTGCATAGAGATGTGACTCTTTCTGCACTTGCTTACCATCAGTAGTATTCTTTCTGAAAGAAATAGATAGCTATTGCTTTTACAAGTAAATGTCAAAATATTCCATATTTTAGATGCAGTGCAGTGTGTGATTGCTGTATTGTCGTTAGCCATGTATTGAAAATACTTTTCTTACAGGTATATCTTTGTATATGCTCTATTCTTCATTTATGTGAAATCTAGGCTCTTCTCTTGCAGGTTAACTGCTGCCAATTAACTGAGAATTAAAAGCTGTTCTTTTCCCTTAGGTAGAAGCATGTCAAGGAGATTTAAGTACACTGGCAAATGTGGTGACTTCATTAGCAAATCTCAGTAAATGCAAAGACATGTCACAAAGCAGTACAGAGCTATCCATGATCGAAAATTTGAGTAATGGAGATGCATCATTATCTGAACTCAAGCAAGAAGAACAAGCTAGTAGTGATGTTACAAGGTAAGGCATGTTACACTTCAAAATACTGTCCTTTTTCAGAGAAAGTGTCAATTCAGACCAGGCGATTAGTTAAATCCTCACAATACAGGAAATTTATCTGGTTTAAAAGTAATAGTGATATCAGCATAAGCTCATGTAGAAGGTAAATATTGTAAGATTCTTCCAAGTGAAATGAAAAGAAAGTTCCATTAGAGAAATAAATCCTTTTAGTTGTTTGTACTTGAAATTAACTTCAGTATAAATGTTACAGCTGATTTTCTTACCTTTTGGTTGTCCATACTAAGGTAGGCCTTCGTTAGGTCTTGTACTATAGTCTTAGTACTTTGCCTCATCCTGGAAAACTTGTTCTTAAGAGATCTCATCTGTGTTAAGTGCCTGTAACTACTAATCACCTCAAAAGGTTGAAAAACATCTTCCTCCTATGCAAGAGAAGTTACAGAATTCTCACTACTGATATTAATACATCCACTGAGTATCTTACTCGTGTTTTGCACTGGTTTTAACTGAGCCATTGTTGTGAGCATATGTGTGTATATACTGAGCATTCACAGTTTTTCCATGAATCACAATCCTGTTCTTCCTTGGTTGTCATCTCATGCAAGCTTCTGACTGCTGTCCCAGCAATATTCTTTTACACACCACCTACATTTTACATGAAAGTGTGAAAGTGTGTGTGGAGTAGATCGGTTAAGGGGAAAAGGTGGGCGTGTAGTGGCTGAAATGTCTGATTTCCCCTGTGATCTCTACTGTTTTGTGTAATTGCAAGCAGATTACATTTTTTCTGCTCCTTTCTTTATATACTGCTTAGAAAGTCAGTCTGACTTCTTATAGATGCTGATTTGGGCCTTTGCTGTGTCCTCCTAGGTGAAGAATGTTAGAATATGCTGTGTAAGTAGTATTGTTACATGTGCTGATAGCCATCATTCAGTACTATGGTTGTTCAAAGAGATGTAGTAATCTTTCATTTGCTGTCGCTTCCAGTTGCTTACTTTTACCAACTTGAGAGTTTCTGTTCAGTTTTAAAAGTCTGTCTGTGAAAAGGCATCTGGTTCTGTCAGCCACAGAGCTTGAAAGAGCTCTGACTTGACGTACTCTTGCCAAGTAGGTTACCTAATAGCTGTACAGTGGGGAGGTTCAAGTAAACGTTGCTGGAAAGGAAAGTTGTTATTCCAAGAGAAACTAAAATTTTTCTCTGAATTACTGAGTTCCCTCTCAGGCCCTATGCCAGCATGATCTAACAAATGTAGATGTTTATTGAGGAAGAAGAGTTTAAGGGACTTCAGAGAGCACATTTAATCCATCCACACTTTTAATGTATTTTATTCATTGCTTGCAGTAGTTATGTTTTCAGTTTTGCTGGCATAGACTGCAGCTTCTGCTGCAAGCACCCCATTGCTTTTATATTGTAATTTTATGTGCCTTGTCCTCTAATGCTTCATGATATTATTTCTTTACAGTGGATCTGCAGTCTTACATATCTGTTGATGACAGAGCCTGACAAAAAGAGAACCACAATTTTCTGTAGTATAGGATATCAATGCAATGTATTTTAATCTTGATTATGCCTTGTTTTCTCATGTGTGCTAGATTTTCATAGCTCCCAGGCAAGCTTTGTTCTGGATTCTCCTTTTTGTGATGTTTTACCTTACAGACATTGCTCATGTTGGGGCTTTGTGTAGGAAAGGACTCACATTACTGAGCCATGAGGAAGCAAAGCTGCTTCTGGCTTCTGCTGGCTTACTACTGGCACTTCATGTGATAGGAGGGAGAACATTTATTTCTTTGAAAGCACCATTGAAGAGTGACTTGGGAGGAAAGTGTCATGAGTAGACATGGTTAACAAGTGTACATGCCCACGCTATTTTTCTAGCACTCTTCACCCTGTGCTAGAATAAATACAGGATAGTGGCAGACGCATATGACATTTACCTTTTGGGGAAAGGGGAAGTCTTGTTCTTCTCTTAAATTTCTGTCCCTGCCACATGAAGAGCCCTGCAGAGATCCTGTTTCTTTAAAAGCAGCTGTTACTGAGCTGTTGTGTTTGCCTATTCTATCTAAAACTGCAAAGTGAATTGCGGAAGACCTGAAACTAAGATCTTCTAGCAGGAATCCATAGTATAGTTTCTAGAGCTGAGCCATGAATGCCTTCCCTTTGTGCCAGCTTTGTGCATACCAGAGACAGAAGATGGCCCAGGTATGTCTGTACAGTCCACTCGTGTGTGCCCCAGTCACTCTGATATGTATACATCAAGGTACACAGGCTAGTGAGGACCAAAAGGTGGTTCATTTACCATCCCAAGCCTTGAGGCAGTGTCAGCAGCTCTTTCATGGTGATATTTCATTTGGTTGTGTGTAGTTATGTTAAACAGCTCCTTTTTTTTTTTTTTTTTTAGCATGTTAGTGAATTCATGTAGCTAGAGAGTGTGGGGATAGAGAAGCTGGCCAAGTTCTATCCCAGATTTTGGCATTAAATCAGTGATTTTAGATTCCGTGGTAATAAACATGTCTATCAATTGAGAATGAGCTCTACATACAAGCTGATAATCACCTTTTGTCAAGTTTTCTGGCCTCAGTTAATAAGTTTTTCATGCAACACTGTATAGAAATGTTGCTGTTCCCAGGATGTGTCATATGTCTGTAGGCAGTGATCAAGTTTGTATTTTTGATTGCAGGTGTGTCAGTTGTAGTTCTCAGGTGTATTTATGAGCAGAAAAACAACACGTGTTAGCAAGCAGCCAAATATTGAGTAATACGTGTGTGCTTGTCCTGACATCTGCCCTCTAGCATTTGTGCTTGTGAAAGCCAAGAGTCACTGCCATGCATTAGAGGGTACTAAGAGTTGTATTGAATGCATGGGAGTGCTTTCTCTTGCATATTTTGGAGCAGTCTTTTCAAATTAAGTTGAAAAATCTAACTACAACTCATTACTTAACAAAAAGATATTCTTACTCTGTTTGTGCTTCATAGCAGTAAAAGCCTGTGAAATTTGTACATGAACTAAGTGACTGTAACAGCAGTCTGGTGATCATGTCCTCAAAACACTCATGTCAGTGCTCTCAGTGAACATCACTAAAGAGATCTTGAAAAGCAAACTGTGATTCAGCAGCACAACCAATATGTCAAAACTGTGAATTTGTTGGCAACTAGTGTAAACAGGATCTGCTGCTAATTTTTGTTTCAGAGTTTGATGGAATGTCAGGAAAAGCATGCTACTGACTGTTGTTTTCCAAACCTCACTCTTTGAAGCAGACTTCTATATAGATATTTCAGACTTGTGCAGGTTCCTCTTAAATTGAAATGGTCTCTAAAGTGAAATTTTCTTTTTGTTTGTTTGTGATCTTACAGGGCATTTGATACTCTTGCAAAAGCATTAAATCCAGGAGAGAGTGCAGCATGCCAGAACTCTGAAAGTGTTGACACCAGTTCACAGCTGCTTGGTGGAGAAACAAGCATGAACATAGTTGAAATAGAGGGGCCACTACTCAGTGATGCACATGTAGCATTTAGGGTACTGAATGCTTTCTTACTGTTGACTGTTTATAACTGTTTTGGCATAGTGATGTACAGTAATTATCTGACTAAGCTTTATTTTGAATTTCTTAGATGAGTATTTGTTCAGGTATTGGCATTAATTTTCAATTAATTAACTGCTTTTGTTCACTGGTTAATTCTTTTTTTGGGAGAAAGTTCTGCACTCTGCAGTGGTTTAGCTGCACTGCTTATTTTATAGTTTCTTACCTTAAAAATACTGGGTAAGCCATGCAAAAGGATTTACGTAGACAAAGTTTTTGCATGAAGCAGAGTCAGCAACCACATTCTCAGTTGTTAATGGGTGGATCTGATGCAATCTGCAACTGGATTTTGAGACCTTTAAGTGTATTTCTCAGTTTCTTGTTTGTGTAGATGCCCTATTTTAGCATGGTAGTAATTGACTTAAATACAGTTGCTGTGTTAGTTAGCCATATATTTTCTGGATTTATTTTTCATTTTACAAGCTTGCAGGAATTCCTTCTATCTTTTTTATCACCTTGTTTTTCATGGGCAAATCAAAAAGCTTGGTCATCTGAAAACTTAGTAACAGGCGTTTTGTTAAACTTTACCCCTCTTACCAGCATCTGTTTTGATCATTTAAATGAATATCTCCAATGCAAATGTCAGCTTTTTTTTAAAATTGCATTAGCCAGAACATTATATTTAGAAAAATATTAATTTCTGAAGACAGAATTACATGTTCTAAGCTATTTTGGGTGGAATCTCTTTCTTCACATATGCAGGTAACATCACTAAATTTGCTTACTAACATTGTGAACATCCTTTCTGATGTTTGTTGGTTATATTTTTTAGACTGGGGAGCAGCTGTGTATTAGGTATTTTGCTCAAACATCAAAAGATTTCTCTTGTATTTCTTTGTAAAATATTTAAAAGTAAAAAAAAATGTTTTGTGAAATAGAATTATCTCTCTCACACACACACACTCTCTCTCTCTCTCTCCAGAAGTTGTAACTAATCTAATGTAAGCAATTTTATTCCAGTTACAATGATTCTTCTCTCTTATTCTTTGAGAATGTCTCAGAAGTTGATTTTTGAGATTTTCTGTTTCCAGTTGTCCCAGACAATGTCTATCTGCGAATCAAACTTTGTCTTTTTTGTTGCTGTGTAGTTCTTTAACTTACAGAGTGTAATGGTGTGGCTAATAATGCAAAAGGGAGTCATTCAGTTTTGTTGGGATTATACCTTTTTCATTTAAAGAACAATTTTATTATTTCACTTAAACTCAAAGAACTGATTTCTTCCTAAACATATTATGAAGAAAGTAAAATAACTGTCTTACACTTTATTCTTTTTTCTTCCTACTTTTGTTTTGCAGCTCACCATGCCTTCTCCTATGCCTGATTATCTTAATGTTCACTATATCTGTGAGTCTGCCTCCAGGTTGCTTTTCTTGTCCATGCACTGGGCACGTTCCATTCCATCTTTCCAAGCTTTGGGGTAAGTGTTCTGTTTGTTCACTTACATTGTGCATATGTGCTTTGGAATTTTTGATTTTTGCTGTCTTCTTCGGGGACTTGTAAAAATATGAAACTACTTATTAAAACTGTTATAAATCTTAATTGTAAAGTAAATTTTCTGAATTAAAACTACTCCCAGTTTGAGTCCAAATTCAGGAATTTGGTTGGATCTTGTAAGATAAAGGAGTGGATTTAAAACAGTTGAATGCCCACCCACTGCTGCCTCTTAAATATATTTTGAGGAAACTAGGAATTTCTATCAACTTTTTAATAGCTACAGCTCTGTGCTACATCATGATGCTTATCAGGCAATCACCAAAAAGAAGCTCCTGTCTGAATCTGCAAAATTTGTCCTTATAAGGTGAATTACTCCTAATAATCATGCCTTTAATAACCTACACGAAGAAAATGGTTAGCTAGATTCAGCAAACATTCAGAATGAAGTTGTCTAATTAGAAGATTTGCCAAAAATAAATGGCTCCTTTAACCAAAAGGTAATTCTAACTGTTCTTTTTACAGTTTGTATAGCATCCTGCTTCTCCATAAGAATTCAGTGTATCACTTAAAATTCTTAAGTTCAGTTTTGTAGTCCACTGCTGATCATCATGAAAAAAAGATGTCCAAACTGCATGGGAAAAACTGATTTTTATAATATTCAGAAGTAATTTTATGAAGATACATCAAACAAATAAAGATACTGTATCAGCTCTGACACAAATGGTGAATAAATCATGATAGTTTGTTCTCATTTGCAGTGTTTCTGTTTAATTTGGTATCAAAATAGCCTGTGACTGTGGCAGCAAAGAGAATTCCTCTTTAAAATGAGGGATTGTCCCCTTTTCCAGGAGAGCTGTCAAAAGCAGGATGGTCTGTGATTACCATTTGTGTTTACTCAGATGCTTCAACCAAATGATTCTATGGTTTTTAAGGAAAGATACTGTTTTGTGTGTAATTAAGCCTGTGTGTTGGAGAAGGAGAAAGGAATATTGTATAAAGTTAAAGAATAGTAGGGGTAAAAAATAGGTAAATATGATGTTTTATTCTGGTAGAAATTTTGACCTGCAGAATTACAAAGTGCCTAGCAAATAAACATAGTACGTTATGTCTCTCTGGTTTTGTTACAGAGACAACTGCAAATTAGTACAAATTGGTTTTCTAATGAAAAATGAGAATTGCTTCTTAAAAATAAAATATAGTACAGAAGACCTCTCTCTCCAAAAAGATTTAGTGAGAAAAATCTGCACCTGCTCTTTTTACCTGTTATTTCACAATATATTTTTCTGGTTAAAAATATAGAGGAGTAAGCTGCCATAAGAGTGCTAATGTTCACCTGTAATAGCATTTATAGACCCAGTCAAGATCATGGGCAACAGTATATAAATAACATAAATTGAAGTTTTCTTTGAAGCACCTAAAGTGCAAACTGTTTTCAAGTGGAGATTTATTTGAAATTAATGCAGCCTTTATAGTTGGAGTACATTATATCCTATAATTTTGGCTTTCAGAAGGGTGACTCATTTCACTTTTAAACTGAAGAGAAATTCATAGAGCATCATGAGTAATGGTTTTTTAAGGAAGATGGATAATTGTACCTAGGTTGTTTCTTCCTCGGTCAACATTCTCCTTTAGTCACAACAGGATAGCTGCCTTTCACCTAATGATGTAGTTCATGATGCCAGATATTGATTAGCTCATCTTCCTGCGTGGGCGTCTTTGTTCACAAAGAAACCTTCGCCAAGCTGCTTACAGCCTCTTAGTTTTGTGAGGCTGCATAAGAAACTTAAGAACTGGTTCTGGTGTAACTTTGATGAGCCATAAAGATGCTGTAGATGATGTGTTTATCTACGCATACGTATCAGAGGAGTAGCCAGTACACCCTATTTTCAGTGGTGCTCAGCACAGTCCCTTTGATTAAGTTAAAGGAGATGAACAAAGATGTGACAAATACATGCAGAAGCTGCATGTACAGTATCATGTCTACCATAACAAGAACTTGATCCAAATGAAAATATTGCTCTCAGTAAGCTCTGTGTAATCCAGTTAAGGACAAGTCTGTGTTCCCCAGTCATTTGGCATCTTACTATTGCACTGAATCATCAGAACTGTTCCTGAAGATTATATCTGCATTCTTCAAAAATCCATTCCACTGTATTTTTGTAGTTGAAATCCTAGCTTTAATATGCTTTTCTTCTTTGATAGATCTTGTACTTCTTTTAAATTTCCATTATTTGTATTCACTGGCTAAAACTGAAACGTCGTACCTGAATTTGACTCCTCTCTGGTGGGATTTGCTTTCTAAGGTACTGAGCTCTTGTTAAGCTCTGTGAGTTAGAGATGCTTGGCATAACTGAAAGTTAGGTTACTAATACAAAAGTGGCTGAATATGAATTGATATATTTTATTTTAAGCTGCAGCAAATAAATCCTTATGACTGGTACTTATACTTTGAAGTCTGTATTTCAAACCTTATTCCAAACTTGAAAGGGATGCAGAAAGCAGCAGTCAGGAAGCTCAGAAACTTGATCACACGTGTTCCATTTCACCTGTATCTTCAATTAAAAAATTATACCAACCTGTCAGTTTTCAAGTGAAAAAAAAAACCCCAAAACCCGTGAGTCTGTTCTACATCCACAATAAAGGAACAGTGCAACCTTTTTTCTTGTCCATGCATATAAATGTTGTCCCAAATCCTAAGAGAACTAGCATGATGGAGTACACTCTGGCAGTTGTCATTTACTGTAACTTCAGCTTGCTTTTGTAATAGAAATCGATCTCCTTTTAGGTCATTTAAACAAAAATGTATTGCTTTACAAAAATCACTTTAAACAAGGTATTTTAATTCTGGCATGCAAAGAAAAATTATGCAGAACTTCATTTTGATGTTGGTTGTAATGATTGAATTAGATTAATGTTTTATGAAGTGTTCATCGAATTAAAAAAGTGTGAATGCAGATGGCTGGTTTTATTAAATTATTGTGCTTTTTAATAGACAGGATAACAGCATATCATTAGTAAAAGCCTGCTGGAATGAACTTTTTACGCTTGGTCTAGCACAATGCTCACAAGTTATGAATGTGGCAACGATCTTAGCTGCTTTTGTTAATCACCTTCAAGGCAGTTTACAACAAGGTAAGGTGTATACTGTGCACATACCAGACTTGGGGACTTACTTGATATTTCTTAAGTTTTAAAGTGTGCAGAAGCTCTTTATTTATCTTTCAGTTGTTATTGTAAATTTACAGTTTAAAGAATTTCATGTTAGTATTGAAACAAAATAATACTAGCAACTACAGTCCACAAGACAGAATTTTTTGGCAATTTTGTGAAAGTCAGCTATGATAATATTTAACTCCAAATAAAAAAAACTTTTTTTTTTGGTGTGTTATATTGTCTAATAGTATCCTCTTGTCTGTTAATATCATCAGCCCAAATTAGGAATATTTTGGGCAGCATCAATGTTAAGAACACAAGAGTACTGTGACTATGATTCCTCTGTATGAAGGATACAAAGTCAAGAATGACCCACCTGTCCTTGTTCTTCATAGCTGTGACACAAAGCAGCTGAATGCCAGCTTGCTGATACAGTTCCTTTAGATAACTTGGCTTGTTGACTTCTGTGTATCAGTTTGAGTCTACATAGAAGTCTTCAACAGATCTCCACTAAGTACGCTTTGTTCCTTGCTAATCCTATGTTCTGCATCTTTGGCATATTTTTCATTCAAATGAAAGACATATCAATTGGTCTCTTTAATTCTGTTCCGAGCTGGAAGGGAGTTTTAGCTAAAAGCTTTGTGTCCTTGTGGATACTCACAAGGTTATCACCACTAAAAGCTGTCCAGTCAATAATAGTATAGTCTTCATGCGTTCCTAGTCATAACACATTATTCATAAGTTAGGTGCGCATAGAAAAATCTAAGCATTTTCAGATTTAACTAAATTTTTGAGTTGTTTGCTGTTAGGGGTATGAAAATTCACTGTTGTTGATGCTATGCAAATGCAGATTGGTAAACTAGAAAAAAACACCCTACCAGACTATAGATGTTTTAATCTTCTTTTATGATAAGGTAATTAAAGAATTATTTCCAAGGGGTTTTTGTGATTTAAAAACATCCACAAGATCCTCCTGTAAATAACAATAACTTAAAACTGATCAAATAATGAGATGTGTTGGATCAGCTAAAGATACTAACAAATCTGTGATTGTCTCTAGCAGATAAAAATGGAATCTGGAAATTTTTGGTCTATGTAATATTTAAAGTATGTTTACCAGAAAGGGTACTGTAGTAATTAGTCATGTTTTTATCATTATTACAAATACATATTTCTACCATTTAAATTGGGAATCAAGGTTGACTGCAAGAACCAGTTGTGCCGTCTGCCAGCTGCAGTATCTCCAAGAGGTACCAAGTTTGTGGAGTCTAGAGACTCTAGATGGATGGGTTATGGAGGGAATGGAGTTTTCAGGCTGCTTTGCTATTGCTGGCTCAAGGGGAGCAGCTCTGCACCAAGCACATTCCCCTCAGTGTCAGTCAGGGAAGGCGTATGGTACATCTTTCCCAGCAGTGACATGGTCTCTGACTGAACAGCACAAAGCTGGACACTGTCCTTCCATGTGGCGCCTGAGCCTTCGGCACAGAGCACAGGTCAGCACTTGCAGCATGTGCTTTACTTATAAGTAGTCTCTTCCTTCCTTGATCATTTCAAGCTCTAGTCCATGCCTGATAACTGGAAACATTAGCAGGAAGATCCTAATTAGAAGAGGTGGAAAAACAGAGTTAATACTCTGTAATGTCTGGTGTCAAGATTATTCAAACCTAACAGGAATTTATAGATGGCATAGATTTCCCATTGTTTGAATCTAAAAAAATAATTATTTCTAAAATTCCAGTGTGACCACATTTTTGCATGTGTGCTAACTTGGGAATTTTTGTTATGTGTGTCTTGATTTAGAGAAGTTGCCAACAGACAGAGGAAGACTAGTAATGGAGCATGTCTTCAAATTGCAAGAGTTTTGTAACAGCATGGTTAAACTGTGTCTAGATGGATATGAATATGCATATTTGAAAGCAATTGTCCTCTTCAGTCCTGGTATGTAATTATTCCAGATGTAACGTTTTAATCTGTGCTGTTTGTTGCTGCATACCTGTTTCATTATATACAGTTACTGCCTCATTTGTTGAGGAATCTTGGAAGGTTTGTAAGGACTGTAGGAAGAGGAGGGTTACTCTTCTAATGTAAACAACTGAATGTTGTTTTGGGGACATTTTTTGCAGGGGCGGACTTTGATTCTTTTTATTTGTAGATCTTTATTCTTGGCTGTGCCACTCATGCGTTTTGTTCTTTTGGGTATGGGATTTTGGTTGTTTTGGGATTTTTTTTCTTTTCAATTATTTATTTATTGCTTTTAACTGTGCCTCCTTTCAGGGGTTCATTTTCTGAAGACCTGCAGTTAAATTTTCTGAAGTGTTGCTCTTGCACATGCAGATGAGATAGTTTTTCATATATTAAAATCCCAACTTCAATCTATCTGGGCATCAGTTCTCACATTCAGAATTACAGAAACATCTCCTCTCCCCCACACAGACTGCATATAGCATTTCTGGTGAATGAGCACCAGAGACATTCACTTATGTTATTATTTGTCTTCTAAACAGTATTTGCTTAATGTACTCTCAGTAGCATTACTAGACATACATTAGACAGTGAAGGTAATCTAACTTTATTTCCCTTCTGGGTGATTAGTTTGCAATAGAGATGAAAGAGACCTCTGGTTATGGTAGATGCTTACTGGGTAATTGCATTGTGTATCCCTTATGCCTGGCTGTAGAAAGTTATGAAATTAATTTTGTTACTTGGAAGTTGCATAATTAACTTTTCACAGAAGGTGTTTAGGTATTCTATCAGCATCATCCTGCAGGCCTTAGATTCATCATTCATAATTGGGATTTAATACAAAGTCAAGTAAAGACTTTTGATGAGAGAAAAATGTGCAAATCTTAAGTACTTCCTCTATCTCCAAGAGTTTTTCACTCTCACATTTAGAAAGTAAGTCTTTGGTTACTCTATTTTGCATTAGAAGGTGTTAAGAGCACCAGCAGCTTCCTTAATCCTTGTTGCTCTGCCTTTTGAAGATGCTGATGTCCTGTAGGAAAGATTGGAGCAGATGTTAAAATGCTCACAGAATCTTAATGATCCCTGTCAGTAGTGTAGGACATGGAGGAGATCGGGGTATTTGGTTCTTGTTGATTCTCTAGACTTATTAGATCCAAGAAGAACTTTCTTTTTGCATTCAGTTGCAATTTACCCTTACATAGAAAAATTAGTTGAGGTGAGAAAATCTTTTAGAACTTGGACCCTTCCAAAATGTAAATTTTAAGCAGGTTTTCTAATATATAGAATTCATATATTGTGAGGTTCTTGCTTTGCAGTTTCCCTCAGATTTGCATTATATTTTCTGTATGTAGTATCTACCTAGTAAAAGGTATATGTAGTATCTATCTAGTAAAAGTGGCAGCATCAGCAGGAATTCATGGTATTCATCAAAGTGCACAAACAAAACCCTGCATATCTTCCATTGCTACCTATAGATATATATATATAATTTTTTATATATATAGCAGTAATGGAAGACTTCTGAGACGAAAGACATTCATGCAAAAAAAAGGTAGTATAAGTAGAGTCAGAATCCTTGAGAAAAGATGATAAATTTCCAGAGGAATTCCTATTGTGATATTTTTTATTGTGGATCACTAAGGAAAATCTGATCCTGGGTGTTTTACTCTAAAACATGATCCTGCTGTCAGTCCTTATGACCAGGAGAGTCTTGCATGGTTTTATGTGTTTGCTTGTATAATTAATTCACTGTATCACTGAAACAGTTTCAGTTTCCTGATAAGCAGGACTCACCATTAAACCCACTTTGGTTAAACACAGTATTAAGCATGCTTGAAAATCTTGGCAGTTTTCCTTTTCTGCTGAGGATTGAACAGTTGCAAATACACCGTTATTATAGAAGAGACTTTCTCCAAGTGGATGGTAGGAGGGTGTTTGCTGGTTTAATTTTAATAAATAAGACTTGCAGGAGATACAATTCTCCTCCAAGTGTTCTTACCCCAAAGCAATCCTTTTTGTGGCATTCCTATACAAAAACTGGTAGAGGTTACTTCAGGAAAGAAACAAAATTATGGGAGAATACCGCAAATCCATTTTTTTGGGATTATGTCCACTAGGATTTATGATAGAATCCTCTAGCCTGTGTGGAAAAATCCATCCTGTTAGACACCAAAAAATACTTCTTGAGGAACCTTACACTTGCAAAGTAGCATTTACCTATTAGTTTAGTCTGAAATTTGTCTCCTTCCAATTATATTTGACAACACAAAAGGTAGAAGGAAAAATACCTTGGGAAAATACTCTCGTTCAGTCACATGATTGAGAGAAATTAGCTGATGTTTTCAAATTCACATTACTAATGACTAATTTCTTTAATGGCAATGTGTTGTCAGAACTCTTGATCCTTGAGCCATATAACAAAATCTTCATACATGTGAAAGTCATGCTTGGTACCTTGAACAGAAGGGATGTCCTGGCAATGACTCACAGGCCAGAAATTTAAAATGGCAGGGATTTTACTGCTGTACTGCAGGATGGGGCTGGGTTGTGCATGCAGCAGAGCCCTAAGGCAAGAACCTCTCCTTTAGTAGGCCCTGGTGATTCCACTGTGCCAAGCCAGCTGCTTGATTGCTACAAGACAGCCTTGGGCAAAGAGATTAGTGTAAAGGGTGTGCCGAGAAGACTTGGCATCTTTCTAAATGGCTGCAAGTGTACAAGCAGTGCTCTTCAAACTGTTTGCCGAAGTTGACTTCTTGCTGTGTTCCTGATGTGGCTCTAAAAGCTGCAGCATGAAGTGATAAATTTTGCACATAACTCTTAACTCTTCATCTACATGATTTGTCAGGCTAGTATGACAGTAAAATTTTTACATTCAGATAGATGGATAATAAAATTACAGACCATGTAGAGAGTTCAGAATTACTGCATAATAATTTCCAAGAGTGACTTGGCAGTTAGGTTGAAGTCCTTTCATTTTAGCAACACTTCTAATTCAAGTAAGTTCAAATCACTGCTAAAAATTATGATTAGCACATTTGAAATTTTTGCATCAGATAGGCTTGTATGTAGCAGACTGTTCTTTCTCAGCTATCTGAATTGAAAGAGCCTTTGGACAGCGCACTCAGGCACACGGTGTGATTCTTAGGGTGTCGTATGCAGGCCCAGAAGTTGAACTTGATACTGATGGGTCCCTTCTAAGTCAGCATATTCTATGGTTCAGTACTGTTTTCTACATGTCTTAGGTAATTCACAGCTTTTTATTCTGCTTCTTCCACTGCTCTTAATTTTATACTTCACATTTCACCTAAATATTATTTGTGCATCCAATGTTCCAGGAAGTGTCAGTGTGTTGAAACAATCCTGTTTTACTGCTACACAGAGAACAGAGTTGTATCATCAAGATTAACATAAACATTGCAAGCACTGAATTTATTTGAACTCTTTCAAATGTCTGATTTTATTTATGGAAAGTTAAGTAAAATACAAGTGTAAAGAAAGAGAAATATAAGGAGGTAAAGTAGTGGCTGCCACTAAAACCGAAGTTACTGCAGCTACCACTTAATTATATCAGTATGTTGGCAACTGCGTAGTCTGTATGGATGTTAGTTCATTTTCTGTAGAACGGGTATAACAAAGAAGAGGTTTTTTTTTTCAGATCACCCAGGTCTAGAAAATGTGGTACAGATTGAGAAATTTCAAGAAAAAGCTTACATGGAGTTCCAGGACTATGTAACAAAGGCGTATCCGGATGATACTTACAGGTCTGTAAACTAAGATGCTTACTTGATTGATTCTCTTTTCAGAGTCTGAAAACTGATTTGTACAGTTTTTCATGTAATAGATACGTACATTTTCTTCTTACCTCATTAAAATTAAGGAATTACCTTTAGAGCACTTCAAATATTATGCATGTGGTCATATATATTGTGCAGTATTTTTCATCTCATTATTAATTTCTAAAATTAAATATCCAAAATAAATATTAGTAACATACAATTTGATTTGCATCTGTTTGGAATATTTCCTCATTTAGTCTTAAATCCAAACATACATAGTTCATGTAGTTCACAGGCATTTGTACATTTTCTGTACTGTTCAAGACATGACTAAACATAAATTTAATGCTATACTGATTTAAATATTTAAGCCTTTCATAAACTAGATATAGCAAACTTTGACCAGTAGTGTCCCTTGTCATATTTTTTCTCTTCTTTTGCTAATAATATCATGGAGAACAACACCAAAATCTGTGCTCTGCTAAGTAAAACTTTCCACCAAATTTGTTTTCCAGACTGTCTAGACTTCTTCTCCGATTGCCCGCTCTTAGGCTGATGAGTGCTGCCATCACTGAAGAGCTGTTCTTCGCAGGACTGATTGGCAATGTTCAGATTGACAGCATCATCCCATACATTCTGCGAATGGAGACAGCAGACTACAACTCTCAGATCATAGGGCACGGTGTGTAAAAGTAGCAGTCCAGGATTCTGTACCATGGCAGTCATGGTGATGTAAATGCATACCCTGTCTCCAAGAGATGGTCATAAGCCTTCCAATGCACCTTTCCAAAGAAGGCTCATATTCCTCCTTTCCAGTACACTTGGGAAATGTGGTGGAGTGTATTAGGATATAGGATCCCTTCCTGTTCTTCATCTGTCTTCAAGGACTTGTAAATTAACTTGATATCTGAAGAAGGTCAAGAATTGTCCATCCTATTTTTGTAGGTAGACGGACTTGGAATATTTGTTTATGAATTTCAGGCTTATGAGGAAACGGAAGAAGCTTTGATTAAATTAAGGTATCTCAACTTAGTTTGATGTTTTAGACAAATAAATTAACTTTCCTCTCTGAGTTTTGTTTTCAGTGTTTTGCTGCTAGTTATTTTTCACGTATCAAATGGAAAATACATAATCAAACATCCTGAAAAAGGCCAGTTTCCATGCAGACAAGACCCAGCTTAGTTTTGGCTGTTGTTTTGAAGAGTGATTTGTTTCTGCTGAATTAAACACTGGATACCATACCCCAAGTGCAGGGAAATAGAGGACGTTCACATTTAAAAATATTGTGGTGTTAACATTGATGCCGCTGATCAAAGGGCAAGCAGCAAAGAGTCAGTAGTGACTGTTTTGCAGATGCAGCAGAATACTATATTCTAACAATAATGTGGTAGACATCAGCTGTTTTATACTGTGAAAAACTAACAGAGAAGTGTATACTGCAGGCATTCAAAGACAGCATACTCTTGCTTTTTCTGGTCTCAGAGCTTTTTCACACTACGCCTCCCTCTTTCATACTCAGTGCGCAGTGATGGAGGCATTCTAGATGCCCCTTGACTTTTGTCCATGACTTCATTTTTTGTTATGGTTAGCCCTTAGGTATGCAATTCTCTTTTCCAACCAGTCCTCCATGATCGCTTTTCCAATTTGAGTTTGTCAAATCCAATGTCCTTCCATATGGGAAGGACAGAGGGAAGGACATTCCCTCTGCTGCTTTTCCTTTCATCATTAGAAATGGGCCTAGATACTCCATGCATATTGCCTGAATCACACTCCATAGCTCCATCTGAGGATGAGTTTAAATGTTCTTCTGTCTTGAGGATGTGACTCATGTGACAAGTAACACTGACATGTCGTTGCTTCTTCTTCCTTTTGCAACAGGAAGTAATGCACCCCTGGCATGTTTACTTCCTGCTGCTTAAAATGAGAGAAGTATCCTAGTGAAAATGGTCTTCTTTAGACATTAGCATCTAGCATTTTCTGAATCTTGGGTCAAGGCCAAGCTTGATTTAGCATGACCGCTTTCTTTCTCTGGCAGAACTGAGTGAGGAAGAGCCTGACCCAAACAAGAAACACATGCCTGCACTAAAAATTGCCTAGAAGATCAGATTAAATGGAGGCCTTTGCCCACTCTGCAGTGGCAGTTCCAAGGCCACCCTAACACCAAGAGGCTACAAGATGAGGCTTGGGTTATAAAGTTCTGGAGTTCTGTAGTTTTTTCTCAGCATTTGAGGAGCACTACCAGACAACATGAGAACTGCCTCTGACATTGAATTTCTGTGTTCTTCTCAGTTCTACTAACTGAGTGCTTGAATCTTTCTATATCCAAGCAATAATTGGAGACTGTATTATAGAATCACAGAAACAGATGATGGTTGGGGTTGAAAGAGGCCTTAAAAATCACCTAGTTCCAGCCACCTCTGTGGACAGGGACATCTTCCACTAAACCAGGGTGCTCAGAGCCCCAATCAACCTTGCATTGAATGCTTCCAGGAATGGGGCAGGGCATTCACAGCTTCTCTGGACAACCTGTTGCAGTCCCTCACCACCCCCACAGTAAACAATAGAAGAGGTGATGGGCATTCACTTTGTTAAGCCTTCTGATGTTTGCATTCTTTCAACAAACTTTCTTACACACAGTTCTGTAAATAACCTATGTTTTGCATTCTTTCATAGAGGTGGAAAGAATTGATGGACCCTTGGTCTGTCCAGTGGCATTGGAGAGGTGGCACTGTCCCCCTCCAATCCACTGTCACCTTTGGAAAACTATAAATGTTGGAGTCAGAACATAAAGTTTCTCTTCTTCTTCCTTTTTGTTCTCCTCGAGAGCAGCAGTGTCTGGGGCAGCATTTCGTGCCGTATCACAACAAACAATTTCTTAATTTCTAATCTAACCTGCTCTCTTTCAGTTTGAAGCTATTCCCCCTTGGCCTGTCACTACATACTCAAGTCCCTTTCCGTCTTTCTTGTAGGCTCCCTTCAGGTACTGGAAGGCTGCAGTTGGGTCACCCTGAGCTTTCTCTGCTCCAGGCTGAACAATCTCAGTTCTCTTAGTCTTTCTTCATGGAGGAGCCCTTGGTGTCATCAGCAAATCTGCTGAGGGTGCACTCAACCTCTTCAGCTATGTCATTAATGAAGATAATGACACTGTTCTTGATATGGACCCCACATGTCACTGATGTCCCTTGGGATTCTGAGCCACTGAACACTATCCTCAGGTTGTGACTGTCCATCTACTTTCTTACTCATCCAACAGTGCACCCCTCAAATCCATCTCTCCAGCTCAGAAAGAATGTTGTGGAGGACCATACCTCACAATTGGTCATATCCAATCCTGTAGATCAAAGCACTTTGCACTGAGGACCCCTTATGGCACGGAACAATGTCTGTGGGCCTTTGCTGTGCCTTTTCTGTGTCGGAACTGGCCGTGGCAGCTGAGCACTTCTCATGTTACACCTTTTGAAGGTTGTAGGGTTCTAGTTCTTTATCTGTGTTTCCTGGAGAGCTGTATGAAAATGACTATCCTGTGCCTCAGGAGGTGTGCGTCTCCTCAGCAGAGTTTATGGATATATGAAGGACTGTTGCTGCCAACCTGCTGTGCTTGTTCTCTCCCCACGGGTTAGAGGCCCATTTTTGATTTGTAGGTCCAAGTTGCAGATGAGAGGTTGATCATTCTCCAGTTCAGCTCTCCTCAGAAATTCTGACCCTGCTTTCTAGTCCCTTGTTATCTGTAATCCGCTTCTGGCCCTAGCAGGCACAGGAGAGTTACAGTCCTCTATGTTAAAAGTTTAAAGGAAACTGACAATATATTACTTCTGAATATATTGGGGTAGTTTTCCAGGCATTCCACTCACTACTCTTGGAAGAGTTTTACTCTAATATTCTCCAGATTTATGAAACCCAGGTAATAGCAAGATGGAAATAAAATCCTGCTTTCCTTTGTAATGCAGTACACTATGCAAATCTCTCTCACATCCTTGAAGAAATTTTTCACTCCATAGCTTGAGCCTCAGGTGTAATATGGAGTTCTTTGTTTAGAGCTGACAAAAAGGTTCAGCTGATGCAGCCTTTCATGTGGTACTCCAGCTTTGGCAACAGCTGAGAAAATATCAGTGTATCTACAGATGTAAATTTTTAGCAATTGAATCCCTCAGTTCAGCCATCATTATTGCTTGAGGGGACCTTGAAAGATCTTTCATTCCAACCTTTCATGGGAACAGGACCCCAGAAGACACTATCTAGTACCCTGTCCAATCACATATTGCAGTGATTGATTGCTCTCAGCGCAAGAAATGTCTATTACATCAAGATTGTCAAGACTTCTTAAGGAGAGTGGCCTTGCACCAATGTCAGCCACTCCCTTAATATTCTAGTCTGGATTTCTTCTGAGCCCATGGATTTCTGTGGGTTGAGCCCTTGCAAGAGGCTGCAGACCAGCTGTTCACCTACATGGTGACACACGCGCTGCTGTAGATACTTGATCTGGTGCTCTGCAGCCCAGCAATGCTGGTAAAGATGGAAGTACAGAAGGTACTGAGAAGCTCTGCCTTATCAGCATGACTAGTGAGTAGCTTCCCTGCCTAGTTAGGCAATGGCTCTGTACCTTCCCTGTGCTTTTGCTTACTACTCACATATCTGTACAAACCTTTCTTGTTATTCTTGACATCTTTGGCCAATTTTAGTTCTATCTGAGCCTTAGCATTCCTGACCGCATTTCTGTGTGCCCTAGCAAGGTTTTTACAGTCCTTGATGGGTATTTAGCTGCCTTTCCGTAGCTAGTATGTGTATTTTCTTTCTTTGTTTTTTTTTTTTTCCCCTTTGTTTAAATTTTAATTGGAGCACTGTTTTGGAGAGGGTGTCCTCAGAACCTGATTTTCTCTGGATTCCTGTCCTTGTTTTCTCTTTGTGCCCTAGTCTGTTTGAATGCCAGTCAACTTCAGTTACACATGGACTGCAACTACCATGGACTGCTGGGTCAAGACTATGTGCTTAGGATGTGTTAACTCATAAACACAGAAACCTTGGTCATGTTTCACATGAGGTTGTTTAAATTCAGGTGTTTGTATATTGTGAGGGCCAAAAAAACCCTACAATTTATGATGTTGGATACCTCTGACATTTGGACCTCTAAAGAGCCAAAGTGCATACATACCACACATAGCAAACAGCTCTGGCTACTGGTAAGTGACCTTTTTCCCCCCAAAGTTTTACATTTTTATGATAATAAATTTTCAAGATTGATGTAAAGGCGGAGTGCAGCTCATCTATGCTCCCTGCCAAGTAATCTGTTTTGTCTTTATGATGATCTAAAAGATGCATCCCATACAGGAGGTTGTTGTTGCAGTGTTATTCACTTTGCTCAGCAAGATCTTCATTAATTATTTAAAATTATTTCATTAATCATCCTTAAACTATAAATTCATCCTTTTGATAAGTAATGAGGCATAATGGGGTTTTCTCAGGAACGGGAGTTATAAAACAGGTAAATACAGGAATCAACATGGTTTTTCCTTATTCATCCATGGTAACCATTACAGTCCTCTAAGAAGAATGCATCAGCTCATGGAAAAACCAAACATGAAGTTCTGGGTTTGTTGTTTCAGTTACTTTAAGGTAACTGCTTCTGAGTTAAATGAAATATATCAAGTTACCTTCAACTGAGACCCTTAGTGTTTCTAACAGTTATTTTTTATGATTGCATGATCTCACATTACCATCTGTGTGATTTATTGTCATTTCTAGTCTTATGAATGAATATTCCTTGGTACTGAATGAGAGACTGACTAATATTACTGGGTTCTGTCAGTACCACTGTCAATACAATAACAAAAATGTGACTATTGAAGCTTAATCCACCATGGATATTAAACTATTTCATTGTTTTTCTGATTTCATTTCAACCTTAAATTACTTGTCAACTTTTTGATCTTTACAAGCCTTGAAAGTTTTCAGAGCCCATCAGGATTTAACCAAATTGTGACATTTACCCACCAAAAACTCTTTGCCAATGAAAGGAGAAGTTTAGTTTCAACAGCTTTAAATTTTGCTGACAGCAAGAAAAATCATTTTAAT